TACAAACCAAATTTTTAAAAGAAATTAAAATCATTCTTAATTAATCTGGCTCCTTATAGTATAGATGAGTTTCTAAATCAAAAATGAATTAGCTATACATTCTAAAATAATTGTAAAATTGTATGGTTAAGTCTTATAGATTAAGTTGTATAACCAATTTTGTATGCTTTGACACTATTAATTCATGTATGTAAAATGTATAAAGTGAATAAAGATAATTTGATTTGATTTGATTTTAACCGTTAGGCGTACAACCAGGCATATACTAAACTATTTAATCTTTTAAGCTCTAGAAAGTGGTTTGGAAAGAAATTGTGAAATTCTTTGCTGATGAGGTCAAAATGGGACAACCCAATTTTCTCCCCATAAACATTCCCATAAACCCCTGTTCCCATAGTCTAATCATGCTGTCTCACAAACTCGTTCGAATAAATTTACGTTTACACGTTTGTACCAAATTACATAAAAATCGGATAATTTGTGCTCGAGTTATCACGCTAAATGGACACATATGTATATAAATTTGAAAGGATGGTGTTTTTGACTTCTGGGGACCTCAAAACAAAAATGTAAATTGGTCCCGGGTCTAAGTCTTACCATGAGACCTACGGTAATAGCTTATTCCAGGGTGTCTACCAACCGGGAAATCCGGGAAAACCGGGAATTGTACTTAATTTTTTACTGGCCATGAAATGTACGGGAATTGTCCTTAAATGCCAGACTATGTCCTTAAATTTTTAATGGGCCATAATTTTATCGATCGCTAGTTTGTTAGGAGCACATAAAAGGTTTATCAGATGTTTGTTTACATTTTCATAATTTATTACTAGAGTAATAAAAACCCCAATAAAAACCAAATATGCAATAAAAACCCCATTAGAATTCTCAAACCCATTAATATTTTATCACAACAATCAAGTGTCAAATCAAGTACTTCCAAGAACTGTTGACTCAGTAGTAGTTTAGCTCATAAAAGCTGTATGACTTTTATCCCTTACAACATTTATTTATTACTAGGGTAATCATTATTAGATCCCAAACATATTTTATCATGGAAATAATAGTTTTATAATGGCTGTTAAATTTCGCTTCTTACTTGTACTTCAATTTGCCGCTGGCCATTGCCTAGTGCCATAAAACTGTTTATGGTTTCATATAAAACATGTAACTAATCTTAAACATAACTAAGTTAAACCCTTTTTCTATGGATATTTTATCTTTCAATTGCAAAACCAAAAGCATCGGTTGTTTGCATTAAATTTTTATCACTACGTAGGCCTACTTGGTTTCAAATGATGTCATAGCATTTTCTGTATCTTTGTACATTGTTGGCAGTCAGGTTTCAATTTTTTTTATTTCCCATATTTATTTATTGAGTTGTATGCTTTAAGCAATCTAAATCTTATGAACTAGAATGATGATATTGTTTGTAGTGACTTTGCTGATATTATAACCTCATTGTTTGTTACTCAGTTAATATAGGCCCTCCTAAATAGTTAGGTCTAGGCCTGGGTATTTTGATTCTTTGAAAGTGCTGTAAAATTACTAAGAAAATGTAATTGAGCCTAAGATAAAGTAATGATTGCTATGTGTCGATATTAACTTTGCAGATGAAAAGACAATAATCTTACTCTGTGCTTACTGGCAGCCGCTTACCATACCGATTTTGTACCTAGAACCGAGTTACAATATATTCATTATGCATTAAAGATTTTTTTTTCAAAAGTAGTCGAGAACCTAACGTTGTGCCAGGGTGAATAATGCCAAATTAATCCGCCTGGATCGGATAAGCTATGTTATGATGTTTCCGTGACCGATGGAGATATTTAGGATTTTGTCGCTATTGCAGGAGACAATGATTGCATTTTCTGTTACACTATAAAAGCTGTACCTAAAGTATATGTTTGTTTACTTTCAATAAGTTTCTATTTTGAAATTTAATTCTTGTCTATTATTATTTACTTTTCTCTCTGGAACAACTACGAAGAACAAGATTAATACAGTTTGACAAATCAGGAATATTATTCTGCAATCACGCCGACAAAGGTCCTTAAATGTACGGGAATTGTCCATGAATTTTTTATCCAGAATGTAGTAGACACCCTGCTTATTCCCTATATGGGAAATTCGCTAAAAACCTCGTTGTAACTTAGAATGTATTCCTTTGACTTGCTGAAGGATATAAAAACAGTATACATATGTAAATGAATATATAAACCATGTATACAAACTTTGTAGGGGCTACGCAAAGGTTAATAGATATTTACTTGAACTTTAAATCATAAAACATGGTTTAAACCCTGACTTAATGTCAATGTATTGCAATGTATTAAGGGTGTATGGAGACTTTTGTGGGGAGAAAATTGTTTTTTCCCATTTTTTATCCCATCAACAAAGAATTTCACAATTTCTTTCCAAACCACTTTCTAGAGCTTAAAAGATTTAATAATTTAGTATATGCCTTGTTGTACACCTAACGGTTAAGGAGATAATAAAAAAAAAAAATGTAAATTTAAAACTCCCATGTTATTCTAATGGAAAATAAATAAACTTTTGTAGATAAATAAACTTGTTTGTGGATATATTTAAACCAAACTTGGCAATTTTGTTTATTTCATACTAAGCTATCAATCAACATTTTAATACAAACCACCCCCATTACATCCCTGTAGCAGCAAACCTAATTATTAATTAAAAATAATGTTATTTAAATAGGAAATAAATTTGACAGTTTCTAGGACAAATTTTAGTAGAAATCCTGCCAGATAAATGGAAATTCGCTTGGTCTGCAGGTTTGCTGCGGCGGGGGTATTTTTTATAATGGGGAAAATTGAATTTATTGTAAAAATAAACTCATTTAATTAATACTTGATGTTTAGATAATAGTTTTAATTTTTATGATAAAATATTAAATAATAAATTTTGTGCACAAACATTTATTTTATTTCAGTCAGATAGCACTCCAAATCTGTTAATAATGTAGTTATATCGACAAAATAGTGGTTCCATTCTATTTGGCATGTAGAAATCCATTGAAAACGACACTCAACAAGTCATAAGTCAAAAATCATAAATTATTTTAAATTCCCCCAACCCCTCCTAGAAAAAATAACAACTAAACCTGTACCAATATGCTAAATCTCTTATGGAGGTGGTTCTATCAACCTAAATATGGTTCCTATCGATTCACCGTGTATACAAACCTTAAAAACGACTTCCTAAATGACTTCAAATCGTGAATAACGAATTATATCAAAATTCCCTCTACCCACCCCCTAAAAACCACGTTCCCCCATCGGGACTGTTAGGGACTCATCGGATCTTGACTTCTATTGGTAAAACGAAGTTAAAACCAAAGTTTCATCCCTGAACTAATTTTTTCATTTTTATTTAGTATTTTTCCTGTAATAAATGGTGTGTCATGCCTTCCTTGTGTTGTGGCTTTGTTATTGACTTAGGACCAGCTGTTTCATTAGTCAGGACCATTGATTGAAAGCCCATTAAATACAGCTGAATTTAGCTTGGAACCATCAAAAAGCTTGAAATTTTTTCAGGATTGGACCAGGCATCCTTTTGATTTAAGGCCTAGGTACCTAACCAGGCAAGCACTAAAACCACTGAGCTGGGCCATTCTTTGGAAAAGGACAGATTTCAATTTAATATTTATATTTTTTTATTTTAGATATTTTAATGTATGACTCTTTTTAATATTTACCCATTGCAATGGTCACACTAAATAAAAATCACTTTCCCAGATTTTTAGTATTTAAAAACTAGCATGTCCATGGAAGTGACAATAAGTCCACAGAAGTGATTATCGCAACTGCAAATTTTACAAATAAAGTTAAAAAACAAACATAGATTCTAGCAAATAGGTTAGGAAGAATGTTTGCTCTTATTTTTGTAGAGAAACACATAAACTACTGTAAATTAGTATTAGGTTTAATTGCCATTTAAAATAATAGTTGTTAAGTGCAGCAACGCGCGCCGGGTAACTGCTAGGTGTCCACAGAAGTGATGTCCACAGAAGTGATGATTTAGCAAAGAGTCTAGCAAATAGGTTAGGAACAATGTTCGCTCTAGAGGATCACATAAACTAACATAAATTAGTGTATTAGGTTTAATTGTCATTTAAAATAATAGTTGTTAAGCGCAGCAACACACGCCGGGTAACTGCTAGTGTCCACAGAAGTGATGATTTAGCATTTTATGCCTAACATAGAGTCAAGCAAATAGGTTAGGAACAATGTTTGCTCTTATTTTTGTAGAGAAACACATAAACTACTGTAAATTAGTGTATTAGGTTTAATTGACATGCATAATTGCCTTTAAAATGTGGTAACAGAAGTGACTATGTTAGCTCGACAAGCAATTAAAATTCTAGTTTCACTTGATATAAACAACTAATAACTGAACCGAACACAACCAAACTGATTCTATGTTCAAGATGGTTACTTCTTCTCTGTAAAATAAATAGTGAAAATTGGCCAGTGCTGCCTGGTGGATTTTTCTGGAACTGTCCATAGGAGTGATGCAGGCTTTGGTGACCGAGTTTCTTTGTTTTTTTTTACCTTTAATAGAATGGAAAGAGTAAAATAAACAAACAAATATTATATTCAATGTCAAGATAGCCAACAGCAATTGGGTTTAATAATTTTTATTTCAAATTTGTTAGTAAAATCAGCTAATCTTAAGCTAAACCTAGAGGGGGTGACTGTCCACAGAAGTGATATGTCACCTTCTGTGGACATAAAATGTTCATTAAATTTCATTTAGATTTTTTTCTTCTTTACATTAAGTATAAAAAACTTTTACCTACATGTTTAACAACATATGTATTTATTATCTTAATTTTTATTTATTATTCCTTGGTGACCGTAATCTGTCCTTTTCTGAAGAATGGCCCAGCTACCCAGTTTATTATGGGCCTACACTAAGCTAAACAATCAAGTTGGTGTTGAAGATTTAAAGTTAGAGCCTATTTTTTGTTTTGTTTTCAGTAAAACAGCTTAAATCAATGATGCCTACCATTAAAGAACCAATCCAGGTGTATTGCCGTTTGAGACCGCTGAATGACAATGAGGTACCTTGCCTTAAAGTTGTGTCTCCGTGTACAGTTCAGATGTCACCGCCTGAAAATGCTGTAAACTATCAAAATGGTTATGTCAAAGAAACACAGTACACTTTTAGCTACGTTTTTGATAGTGATGCCCCTCAAAAGACAGTTTTCAACAATGTTGCTCTTCCTTTGGTTGATGGAGTCTTACATGGTAAAAATGGACTGTTGTTCACTTATGGAATCACCGGTAAGTTGAGTTTAAAGTTAACAACATCTTCTAAGAAGGCTAGGCCTAATAGTTTGTTTTCCTTGTTTAGACTAGCTGTAGCTCTCAAGGGTTTGTTTATTATTTCTAGAGTTTTCAAATCCAGGTCATAGCACATGTCAGTCACAGTGTTAGATTATTTTTAACTAAACTATGCATTAATATATCTACAGTTCTTACCCACCTCATAATTTTATTTGTTACTTGTGACCTCTAACTAGGAAATTTTCAGTTTTTGAAATAAATGAATTTATTTCCCATATAACGAAACAGTAGCCTATACAATCATAATAATTGTTGAGAAATTTAAGGCTTTTGACATGATTTAAACACTTGTCAGTGCATCGAGTTAGATTCACTCCTTCTAAATTGATACAATGATATTTATTTTCCAGGCAGTGGTAAAACATTCACTATGACTGGAACACCAAGAGAATCAGGTATCATGCCCAGAGCATTGGATGCAATTTTCAACAGCATTGGCCATCTACAAGCCAAGAAGTATGTGTTCAAACCTGACAGACTCAACGGTTTTGAGGTCCAAAGTGATGAGGACGCAAAAATGGATGGCATCAATGAAATCCATTCACAAGTGTTGTCATCTAAAACTCCAAGGAAATTTAATAGGTACATAATTGTTATAGGCCTATATAATGGTTGGTAGTTCTAATTTGGCATTATTACTTAACAAGTTCGTTGCGAGATTCCCATTGGTGGGGCGGTTGGAAAAGGCGACGCAGCCTCGGCGCGCCTGTGAATCAGCGAATGCAATAGGCGTTAAAATATTTCAGTCTTGACAGCAGCAAAAAAACTGGCGGTAATGGTTCTGTGTTGGGTACCCCAAGAGTGGACATAGTTCATTGAAAAACTCACAGATTGTGTAGAACTCACGATTTGAACCTGCCCATGTAGAAAGGTTCCTCAACGCTACACTCCTCATTGTAACACCTTAGCCAATTGAGCTACCATGCCAGTCTCAGCCTACGCTCTAAGCACGCAGGTGATATTCAACGAAGAAACACCCCGAGCTATAGGCTCCTACTCGAGATCAGGTTTTAAAGTGTTAAGTCTTGGCCAAAGTTTGGCTAACTTTGAATGTCAAAAAAGACTTTCCTATCCCCTGCATAACAGAACACTATATTTTAGGGACATTTCCATATAACTTAAGTTAGGAGGTAACACGGAGACTAGGTAACTAAGTTACAGTGAATTCGCCATAGGCTATAAGGGCTATTACCGTAGGTCTCATGATAAGACTTAGACTCGAGAACAATTTTCTTTTTCATTTTGATATCCCCAGAGGCCAAAAACACCACCCCTTTAGAATATTTGTTCACACAAATATATAGGCCTATTAATGTCCATTAGCACGATAACTTGAGTAAAAATTATCTGATTAAATTTAGTACAAACATGTAATCCTACATATCCAAACAAGTTCTTGAACCAGCATGATCTGACTATTGGAAAGAGGTTTAATTGTGAGTTTTATGGAGTAAAAATTCAATTGGGTTTTCCCATTTTTGACCCTTGAACAATTTCACAGCGCTACAGAGCTGTAATTTGTGTTCAGTCATCCTGTTCACAAATGATGCCAGTAAGTAAAGAGGAGCCTCGTTGCAGCGTACAAGTGAACTAAGGAGTTATGTTTAATTTTATAGGAAAAAGAAACGAAACCCATGATCATTTGCCCATTTATCATTGACATAGGTAAATACATTCCCTGCATACCTACTTGTTTTTGGTAATACCCCTTCTCTCCCAACAGACAATCCTTGATAGCATGCTTGTAGCATGTAAAAATGTATACAAAATAAGCTTCATTGTTTCACTCATGATCAATGTTGATTAAAAAAATAAATAAACACAACTCTACTAAGCTATAAGTTATTGTTGGTCTAACTTCCTAAGCTACATGCACTAGCTGGATTCTTCAGATTGTGTTTTATACATATCCTTTTTATTGTGTTTCAGACAGGAGAGTGAGTGGGCCAATAGGATTGCAGAGGAGGTTAAAATAGAAGATGTTCATGAAGACAACATGTACGCTGTGTTTGTAACTTACATCGAGATCTACAACAATTCTGTATTTGATCTTTTGGATGATAACTTTGAAGAATTCTCTAGGGGCAGGTTCGTTGCAACATTTTGTTTACAGACTCTTTAGCCTACTGATAATTTTTTGACCTTTGCAGGTAAATGAATGTAAAGTAGGCCTACAGTATACTTTATCTCATTTGAAGGGACCCTTGCCTGAACTGGAATTAATAGGGAAAGCCGAGTATGGCTGTACAGAACCTCATGTTTGGTTGTTATAGGGGGTTTCTATAGTTTTGAAATATTAAACGGTATTTAAATAAAAATATATCTAGTAATACTTCATTTTTCACTACGAGACTGTAATTATAACAGTGGTGACTAATTTTGATTGAATCCCTACATCATTATCCTGCCCGATTGGCAAATGTTCATAAAACATGTTTCATTAAGGAAATAATTAATGTTTGCCTGTTGGTGTTGATGATGATTGGAGTGTCCAATCAATACAATACTATTTACCGTCTTATTTAGGCCTACATAATTACCTTCTTGTAGTAGTGTACAGTATAAGCTTAAATATATCTTTTAAGTGTAATTGAACAACCATTTTGACTTAGATTCAATGTATAATAAAACAAACCATTCTGATTAAGAACTTAAGAAGTTATTATAAATGAAACGGCCTAATTGAATTAGCAAGAGCCTTGATGCATGCTTAACCTTTTACTATCAAAATGTATCGTATTTTGAATGCTGGAAAATTTGTGCCATGACTTAAGTGCCCAGCGCTCTAAAAAAGCTACTTTAGTCCAGGGCATGGGGGATGATGCAAGATATCTCACTGTGTTCCTAGAATGACATGTGTGAATATAGGGACTAGTTTGGTATTCATTATGGATTGCGTTTTGCAGAGGTCCACAGAGCAAATTGGTCCGGGAAGACGGAGCCAAAAACATGTATGTCCACGGGGTTACAGAGGTGGAGGTGAAGAGCACAGATGAAGCTTTTGAGGTGTTCAACAAGGGCCTGCGGCGGCGGCGAATGGCACACAACACGCTGAATGCCGAGTCTAGCCGCAGTCACTCGGTGTTCACTGTGCGGGTGGTCCAGGCGCCGCTGGACGCGTGTGGGGAGACTGTGATGCAGGACAAGCGTAGGATCAATGTCAGTCAGCTGTCTTTTGTGGACCTGGCTGGCAGTGAGCGCATGAACCGAACCAACACCACAGGGCAGCGGCTCAGGGAGGCTGGTAAGTGACATGAAATTTGTGGAATACAAGCCAAAAATGTTTTCCAACTTTTAGTTTTCTTGAGATCTTTTCTTTTTTGCTAAACCGTAAAATATGTTATCGATCGGAGAAGTTTGTATGTAACATTTGTGTCCAGTAACATAAAAGTATATACCTTGACATATAAGTGATTGTCACCTTGTTGAAATAAGGGAAATGCAGTCCTTGTCACCACACGTCCAATTCACACACAAACACATAAAAAATACCAAAATAAAAGTAACAGACTAAAGTTCTGCTCTATTTCCTATGTTTGAGCGCACCAATATCAACGAGCAGTGTTTTCAAGGTTACCCTATTTTTCTCACATTTACCTGTTTCGAGTGATGCTCAAACATAGGCTACTTATCTAACTGAATTAACGACCTCACCTACAAACCAAGTCTTAAAAAATTGTGAATTGAATAAAGTCATTATTGCATCGCTTGTTTCTTTATCCTCTTACTGCTATAAAAGTTTTTTCTTATTTTCTTGCATAGCGTTTTAAATGTGTGTTTTTTTTTGTTTTTTTTTATTATTAAAACTCATCCTTAAATAGTGTTAGCCAAATTTATGTGAATACTGACAGGAAAAAAATTGTCATGATGAACATAACTTTCACATCGAGACAGCTTTGCCTGTATGACCATACAAAACTTACTAAGAACACTATTGTGTGTTATTGGAGCTGTGAGGTAAAACTATCTATATTACTAAACCATTATACACAGCAACACACACAACACATTACATTGATTGTGCTGTTAGTAGCAGAAACCAGTATCTTGTTGTAACCAAATTAAAATAAATATTCTCATGCAAACCGAGACATCTTTTTTGAAAGCTTCTATTGTTTGTATGCAAATAATACTTCTGGCAGGTCATTATTTGGTTTATATCTCTATATTATCTCTATATTGTCTTGGGTTCAACAATGGTCACTTAATTGGTACAATCCTAAAGACTTAAGATAAGACAAACTGTTGATCTCACTTGTTAGAACATGGAAAGGGGCCTCCAAAAGATCTCTAATACATCAGCATTGGCAGCCGTCCGGTGTACAAATGCTTATTTTTCCACAAGTGATAGTTTGACCGTAAATTCTATTGACCTCCCATCTCACTCAGTTACCAATCCAATGGTCTTTTACAAAAGCCAAAACTTTAGACTTATCAGATATACATTTTATACATTTGCCATTAAACGCAGTGTGCTTGAGCAGTAGTGTCAAATCTGAAAACCATAGAATTCCTTTCCGACAAAAAGTCAACATCATTGCTAAAGAATTTGGTAAGGTGTAATTTCTGGTCTGAATATTTGTTGCAAATATAGTTTTATTGTTGAAATTTTAAAATGAGATACCAAGTAATTGTTTGTTTTTAGGAAACATTAACAACTCATTGATGACTCTACGCACTTGCCTGGAGATATTACGAGAGAACCAAGCCAATGGCACAAACAAGCTGGTACCATACAGAGACTCCAAGCTGACTCATCTGTTCAAAAACTTCTTTGACGGCGAGTGCATCGTACGTGTCATCGTGTGTGTCAACCCTAGATCAGACGACTATGACGAGAACATTCACGTGATGAAGTTCTCTGAGATGAGCCAGGAAGTGCAAGTGGTCAAGCCGACACCTCTGCGGAATATTGACAACTTGCCAGCTGGCCGACGAAGGGCAAACCAGGTATGTTGACCACAGATACACTCGCCACTTAATACTTTATAGCACACACCTTTGTTTGGAGTTTATCTTGCCTAGAAATTAGATATACTAAACCTCTGTGTAATAACTAAAGTGTCAAAGGCATCACATAATACCACCTCCATTACTCCTCCTAAGGGATGGACAAGACTGGATTTTAAATTAGAGTCGAGATAGATCTCATTACTATCGGGAATTATTCGTTTGGGCAGTTTCACAATGGTTGATAAATAATAATAAAACACTATTAAAACAACACCTAATGTATTGTACAATACCTAATTATTTATTACAAAAGTTGATACAAAAAGAGTTTACAAAATTACAAAAGCTTACAAGAACTTAAATAGTTCTAAAAATCTTAAATAAGAAAAAATAAAAATAAAACACCTTTGCCTTTAATGTAAAACTGTAACATGCACACCAAAACTTGTATTTTGCGAACTTTCTTCTGTAATGTAAAAAATATCCATAACACTGGGTGAACACATTTTATACAACCTTAAAAATATGTTATATATAATTATATATAATATAATTATATGTTTTACGAAGACACCTAAATATGCCGGTTCCAAATTTTATAATAAACTTCCTAAAGAAATCAAATTAGAAACTTCCAAAAATAAATTTAAATCAAAATTGAAAAAGTTTCTTATCAACAAGGCTATGTACTCCTTTGAAGAGTTTTAGTTCTTTAAGTTATTAATTGCTCCGTTTCATATCAATTGAAACTTTTGGTTTTAAAATAATTTTATCTATATTTTTAATTTTGATATTTTCATGTAGGCCTATAAACTTTCATATTGCACTGCTTGTTTTAATTTATTTGATCTGAAAAGCTATTAATATTGATGGTATGTTATTATGCCATGCATGATAATGATTAGTATTTTAGTTAGTTAGTTTTATTAAATTACTCTTGACGCCATTCCTGTATCTATGTATTGTACTTTAATGAATAAAGTTATATGAAATGAAATGAAATGAAATATCAGGGTGTCTAGTAGTCGGGAAAATCGGGAAAGTCGGGAATTAGTATTGAATTTCAAAATGGTCTTGAAAAGTCGGGATTTAGTCTTAAATTTGATTTCAAAGTCGGGAATTTTCATGATTTTGCCGCGATCGTCGTCTTGCGTTTAAAAGTAACCGCGAAAGCCAATGATGATGATGTCTACACGGCCTCGGGAAATGTTCACGATTTTGCCGCGATAGTGGACGACGACGATGACGTTTCCGAAACCGCGGGAGACGACGATGACGTTTCCGTGACCGCGGGAGATCACGATGATGTTTCCGTGACCGCGGGAGACGACAATGATGTCTACACGGCCGCGGGAAATGTTCATGATTTGGCCGTCATCGCGGCCGACGACGATAAAGTTTCCGTGACCGCGGGAGATGACGGTGATGTCCAAACAGCCGCGGGAAATGTTCATGATTTTGCCGCGATCGCGGACGACAACGATGACGTTTCCGTGACCACGGGAGACGACGATGACGTTTCCGTGACCGCGGGAGACAACGATGACGTTTCCGTGACCGCGGGAGACGACGATGATATCTGCTCGGCCGCGGGAAATGTTCATGATTTTGTCGCGATCGCGGACGACGACGATGAAGTTTCCGTGACCGCGGGAGATGACGATGACGTTTCCGTGACCGCGGGAGACGACGATGATGTCTACACGGCCGCGGGAAATGTTCACGATTTTGCCGCGATAGTGGACGACGACGATGACGTTTCCGAAACCGCGGGAGACGATGATGACGTTTCCGTGACCGCGGGAGATGACGATGATGTTTCCGTGACCGCGGGAGACGACAATGATGTCTACACGGCCGCGGGAAATGTTCATGATTTGGCCGTCATCGCGGCCGACGACGATAAAGTTTCCGTGACCGCGGGAGATGACGGTGATGTCTAAACAGCCGCGGGAGATGTTGATGATTTTGCCGCGATCGCGGACGACAACGATGACGTTTCCGTGACCACGGGAGACGACGATGACGTTTCCGTGACCGCGGGAGACGATGATGACGTTTCAGGACCGCGGGAGACGACGATGATATCTTCTCGGCCGCGGGAAATGTTCATGATTTTGTCGTGATCGCGGACGACGACGATGAAGTTTCCGTGACCGCGGGAGATGACGATGACGATTCCGTGACCGCGGGAGGCGACGATGATGTCTACACGGCCGCTGGAAATGTTCATGATTGTGCCGTGATTGCTGGCGTCGACGATAACGTTTCCGTGACCGCTGCAGTCAATGATGATGTCTAAATGTACGGTACGTGGAAGATTTCATGATAAAAAAAACCAAATTTGCTTGTTAGAATTTTTTTTGCTGCATTATTTCTTTACTTGAAAACACCACATTATCATAATTAATACTACTTTATGACAAAGACAGAGGTTGGTGTAGTATTTTTAGAAAACTTGGTTAAGCTATCAAAGTTGGTATAGGTATCAAGAATCGAGAATCGATACATTTTGGTATCAACACCCACTAATTGTTTAAAAAACTAGTCTTGAAAAATCTGGAATTAGTCTTGAAAAGTCTGGAATTAGTCTTGAATTTTATAATGGAAATAAACTAGACACCCTGTATATGTTTTTTTCCAGATTTTCAAACGTGCAATGGCTAATCTAAATGAAGCCAACAACGAGAACATTCCTATTGATGTGGGTGTGAATGCTGTCTACAGGTTTGTCATCTTTGATTTCTATTATTTATCCATAAGAAATAAATTGAAATAAATTTTGAAGGCCGTATTTTTATGAACCACATGACACTTAACATAAAAAAGTTCAAGTTTGTGTTGAGTTGCAATTAAGCGTAAACATAATGTTGGAACCTATTTGTTCTCTGAACAAAATTTTTAAACTGAATTGAAACATAAATCATTTTTATATTTTTTAAAAATTTTATCACCGAATGGGAGTGCTTTGCATAGACTGTGCATTCAGATGAAAATAATGATTGTGTCTAGGGCTTGTCTGGCAAACAGAAGGTTGCCAGTTTTGGTTTCTGAGTAATGTCAGTTAGCTATATGATAGTTTGCGGGTCTATACTGTATTGTCCTAGCTGATCTCAGAAACATAGTTATCATCTCATTCATTTAATACTCAGTAGTCATTCATTATTCAGCCCTCTAAAGTACCCAGGTGTATCAAGGTTGTGTAACTCTTATCAAAATCTAAAATCAAATCCAATGATAACAACATTTTGAATGTATTTATTTTGGGTTGATTTAATACAGTACAGTAGAGTCCCGCAAACTCGGTACTCGATAACCCGGCAGTCTGGATAACTCGGCCATCACCTGGCTCAGAAAATTAGTGATTTTTTGAGTCCGAGTTAAACATGGGCTTAAGTCAAATCATTCGCAACTCGTACCAAGGATTTATTGTACGATATCTGATGACTTAATACTGACTTGTAATATAAATATAAATAAATAAGGCAGCTAAAATGATTTAAAAGTGTATTGTTCCTATTTTTAACTCCAGTTCCCGATAACTAAGCATTTCACAAACTCGGCACCCCTCCAGTCCACATTAAGCCGAGTTTGCGAGACTCTACTGTATTACCTTTTTACTAATTGTAAATTAACTAATTTACAAATTTTAAACTAAAATAGTTATCATTTCATTAATTTAATACTCAGTAGTCATTCATTATTCAGCCCTCTAAAGTAAGTTACCCAGGTGTATCAAGGTTGTGTATCTCTTATCTAAATCTAAAATTAAATCCAATGATAACAACATTTTGCGTGATCGGACCAAGAGAACAGGGTTTTATGGCGTGAGAATTTGTTTTCAAAACATAAAATTTTCCCACTTCTTTCCAAACAGATTTGAAGAGCTTAAAAAAATAATTTAGTATGTTGAAGTGTTTTTGTGCAATTATTGGTTACGGAGAAAATTAAAAAAATTGTATATTTAAAATTCCCATGTTATTAATTATTTTGGAAATTAAATAAACTGTAGTAGTTTGCTCATTTATGGATGTTAATCAAATTTGGCAAATTTATTTATTTCACCCTATATTATTCGGCCAACAAAAACATTTTTTACTTTACCCATAGCAGCAAACCTAAGAAATCTTTAAATCTAATGTTTCTTGCAGTTCTCCAAGCAGGCACAGCTACTAGCTACTAGTTCTGTCGTAACTCTGTATTTGCAGGCACTGTTATTTATTTATCACTGTCTGATGTTTTCTGTGTCTCCTGCCGGTTCATTATCGCTTGGTGTTTGTTTTTGTTATTAGCCTAGCCTCCCAGTTCCCTGACCTCTGCCTGGTGGGGCCCGAGGACGACCGACTGTTAAAGAACCTGATGACATTCCTGGAAGTTGAAATAGCAAGAAAGAAAAAGATGGATGTTGAACTTGAAACCAAAGGTATTGTGTTGGGTACAGTTTGAGTTATAACATGTATGGTAGGATAATAGGCCTACAGCTTTACACATTTCATAACTTTAATAAAGTAACTTAGGCACTGTATAAGTTTGAAAAATGGGCAAGCAGGAATTTTTACGAAAGAAATCTAGTCAGACTAGTAGGCCTACAACTAAATACATTTAGGTCCAGGGGTTTACAGGTAGAAATGGGCAAACAATGTAACACACTGATACACTGATGTTTGGTCCCAGTGTAGGACTTATAAGAAAGTAGATTGATGAGAAAATATTTTATCATTCACCATTTTTTCTCATAAGTTTAAAAAAAATTCCTATACTGTACTAGGACAAAAACAAAACATAAGTGTGTTAAGTTATGTAATTTTGTTGTATAGATAACCATGTGAGTTTTCTGAGTTAGGTCTTAATCTTTCGTGAACTTGTTTTGGTATTTGAACTTATTTGTACCGTTTTAAGTGATCATACACTGGGACCAAACATCAGTGTATCAGTGTGTTACATTGTTTGCCCATTTCTACCTGTAAACCCCTGGACCTAAATGTTGTTAGTTGTAGGCCTACTTGTCTGACTAGATTTCTTTCATAAAAATTTCTGCTTGCCCATTTTTTCAAATTTATACAGTGCCTAAATTACTTTATTAAAGTTATGAAATGTGTAAAGCTGTATTATCCTACCATACATGTTATAATTCAAAATGTTTCTGATGACTAAAATGTGTTTTTGAAAGGATTTTGAACTTTTAAATTTTGGAAATGGAGCTTTAAGGCCCTGAAAATATTATAGTAGGCAATGTATCAGCAACATAAAAGGGATGCTACTTAATAGTTGTAACAATCCTGAAGACAAGAATTATTATATTCTAAAATCTTGTCCAAAGGAACTTCTAAGGCTAGGTATCCGTTAAAGAAGAAGAAATGGATTCACAGCTTTACCGAGAAAAGAGTTCCAGTCAGTTGAAAGCACAAAGAATGTTCTCAACACATCAAACTTGATATTTCGTCCCTACCAGGGGTTTTTTAGAAGGTTTTTTCCTCCTGGTAGGGAGAAAATATCAAGTTCGTTGTGTTGTGAACATTCTTTATGCTTTCAACTACCTGGCACTTTTTTCTTAGGAAAGTTAGCTGTGTATCCATTCCTCCTTCCTTAATAGACCTATCTATTCCTAAGCCAAGTGCTTTTTCCTCCAAAAACCTAAAGCTAGGTATTGCAACTACTATGTACATTACCACTTTAGTATGTTTTATTTAGCTATATTGTCAAGAGCTTTGTATCTTCAACCTGTTTGTTTGTATGTCCTAAACTTAATAGTCTTTTGCACTGCCTCAAACAAACCACAGACATAACATACTCCTTTAGTAGATTTTTCATCCTTATGGAACAGCTGAAGCTGATAGTATTTTCCAACTCATTATTAGCTCCCTGTCTTATCAATAGTTCTAGCTAGACTGCATTTCAAAATTGCATGTGTTTTTTTTTACGACTGGCCAACCAACATCATGCTAGTGTAATTTCATCAAATTGTTCGTAGTAATGGATTTCCGTAACGTGCTGATGAAGAGTGAGGAAGAGTTATTGATACTTACTCATAAAAGCAGTTTACTCTCCTCCGAAGTTGGAACTTATAAAGAAAAGGTGAGATTGACTTAATAACTTTTAGGCGTTGAGTTTTTCCACCCATTACATTACATTCATCTTTTTAAGATTGTTATGTACAAGGATAGGGATCAGCTAGCTTACCTGGTAGACAGAGTCCAGTTTAACCTAGGTACACACATAAAACACATAACACAATACAGAAAGTTTTTTCTGTGTTGTGTTGTGTTTTATATATGTGTACCTAGGTTAATCTGGACTCTAGTCTACCAGGTAAGCTAGCTGATCCCTATCATTGTACATAACAATCCTAATCAGCCAATTGGCCTTTCCTTAGCTATTCATATTTTTAAGTCCTTGTAATTCAGATTATTTTGTTTGTGTCATCAATGAAAGTTTATGCCCAATTTTAATTGCATGAATTAATTAGCATATCTCTAGTTTACTGTTTTAATATAAAATGGTGTACATAAGTAACATTACATTACCTGATCTCTGGAGTAATTCTTGTTTGACACCATTAAGGATTTGTGTAGGGGTTTCCGTTATTGTGTGTGTAACTTGGATGGTTTTTATGGCTCTGCACACTCTGGTCAGATTTTTGTGATTGTTTGGGGTTCAGTCACACATTAGCTACTATTAGAATTGGACTGAAATTTACCATGATGATAGCTCACATTTCTGATTAACATATAGGCCTATTCTTATCTCAACTGCAATAATCATTTTATACTTATACGCCAACCCCGTACAAAGGACACTCTGCTAGTATCGAATAATATGAATCATTTCTATATACAGTAGAACCCTGGTTAACTGAAACGGTTCCATAAAATAATACAGGGGCTAAAATATAGGTAATACGTAATGTAAAATGCTTTAGTAACTTCAGTTGTTTGGTTTAAAGTATTTTCTAAACAATTGTAACACATTTCTGTAGCTGAAATAAAATACTGTATTATATTGACATTGTCTTTAATTCATTTTTCCAACTAATAATATACATAGGCTATATTTAGCATATATGGGGTTTAACCGAAAAATTGGTTATCCAAAACGGCTCTCCCCCCTTTATTTCGGTTAACCGGGGTTCTGCTGTACAATTGATTTAGTGTCCCTACAGTTATTAGGGCAATAAACGGAAATATTCCTGGTTAAAGCCTACAGTTTATAGTGCTTGTTTGGTTATAGGTTGCCAATCTGGAATCACAACTTGTCAAGAAGGAAGTAGAACTTGCCTCGCTGAAGAAGCAAAACTCTGGTTATGAGAGGGTCATCAAGAGATTGCAAGAGGATGTGAGTTCTTTACATTTTTGTTTAAACTTTTATCAGTTAGAATACAACATGAGTTGTAGGATATGCCTCGTTTCTGCTAGTACTAAGTGTCTTAGCATTGTTTTCAGATAAACGGGATTCTGTCTCTTAGTTAAATTGGTAAAGAATGTCTAGGTCAATCATGAGGGTTTTATGCAAAGAGTTTTAAACCTTGGACAGGACGACAGGACCTTTTTTATAGAAAATGATCAGCCTGATTATGTGTTTAATAAGTTCTACTTGTGATTTTCAAAACCAGAAATTTCAAATCTCAAAACAGCAAACACAAAAATTTTAATCCTGAATTTCAATTCTCAAAACTTAAACGCAAAACTTTTACTTGTCTGGTAGGCCTTGGTTACAAAAAATACAGGTAGTAATAAAATGTTTATTTACTATGCAATCAAAATTGAAAGAAATCAATTGGACTCCTCACTTGGTCCTGACATAATTACATTAATAACATGTTTAATACACTTCAAGCAAACCTTTTTAACTTGATTTTTTTGTTTAAAATCTTGGTTTTGAATCTCGAAACTTGCTAATCAAATTTTGAACTTTTGAATTGAATTTTTGAAAAAAAAACACTTTTTTCAAAAATAGGTTTGACTCACCACTAGTGGCTGGACACCCTTAATGAGAGTAAAATTAAAATACAATCACGCTGCTTTCAACAATGCAGTGCTTAGGAAATATCAACATATTAGGTACCGGTACTTATTTATGAAGTAAGCCTACCTATTCATGAATGTTTATAAATAATTGAATACATGCATTCCATTGCACTATTAATTATTAATCAATCACAACAAACTTAATCTAAACCTAATTTCAATAGCTGATCCAGTTTCGGAATCTTTTAAAAGAACTAAAATAAATAAATAAGTTTACAAACTAACTGCAAATAACTTAAATTTCTGCTTCTTAATTTTCAACATTGCAAACTTTGTCCGTCTGCTTAACTAACCACCATCGCATGATTTTTAACAACCAGCTTCACGAGAAAGACGCAGCTCTTAACAAAAGACTTCAGGACAGGGAGAGGGAAAAACAGAGGTATCAGTCCAAGATTGCACAGACTGCTGAGAAACTCAACCAGCAAATGGACAAGAAACTCACTGATCACAAGAGGAAGATAGAGGTAAGATGGGAACTGTTTAGGCTACTGAAATAATGAGAAGGAGGTAAAATATAATTGACTGTTGACAACCTGACACGTGTGTAACAGGAAGGGTTCTTACAGGATTAATATTTTGGGTTTGCTTATAGCATAGTATAATACCTTTAACTATTGAATATTGATACACCTGGACATTCCTTTCTCATGCTAAAGTTGTCTCCATTAAAAAAAAATACAAAAATGGACGTTGATGTGAGCTACCGACGGATTGCGTTGTTGACATTATTGTCTCCCGGGATTGCGCTAACGTCATTGTCGTCGTCTGCAATGGCGGCAATATCGGTAATTTTCGGGTATTATCGGTGATGGGTATTGGTACCGACATTTGACGTGAAGTAAACCATTTCCCTAGTAAACCTCTAGTTTGGATACATTTTGTATAAAAAAAACTTCAGAATTATTCCTTGGGGCTGGTTTAGTGGGAATCATTTTGATTTTATCACTGTGGAACTATCAGTTTGTCTGAAATCAATAGTAGATACCTTACATAATTTACCCTAGATATAAAATGGCTTAACCAATCCAATTCATCATTAGCTACTGATTTATACAAACAAGAATTAAATAATCTTACAAAACTGTCGAGTCATCCAGCACTTAATGTGAGATCACGGACTGTCTGTACGTACTTGAGATCAAGATGAAGTCAAACTCTGATTTATCTTTACAGATGGAGATGAAGAGCAAAGATCGCAAGTTGCAGCAGGTGAAGCGTATCTTGTCAGACGAGTCTTTGAACACTCCCACCCCTCGGTCACTGGACACTCCCAGTGCATACAATATACGGACACCCTCAACTGACTGTATCACCACCCCTTCCAGTGTCACGGTCCGCAAACGGGTACGTCAAACAAAACAATATTTACTATTAGTTCACCAAGTTTCCTCTGTCTGGCAAGATATATTTTAGACAAAGCAAGGGTTCAAATTGCTCGGGTGGATTTAAAGAAGGCCCTACAGTTGGTACTTTGATTTTCTTCTCTTGATAGCCTTGTTTTTAGTAATCTCTTATTTTTAGTAGTGCTCTAAATTGACTACTCCCTGTAGGTTACAGTACTGGAAATGGATTGGTATTAGTTTCATGAACCACATTTCAGAACATGTTTACAATAAGAATTTGTTTACAATAAGGTAGTAATACGCCGAATGTCAGTCCTTGAATTTTAAAGGTACGAATAAAACATATTTCTAAATAGAACTGAAATAAATACATTTAAAGGTTGTAATAGATGTATCAGTTCTATTTATGTTTATCTTATTGACATGTGTTTTACAGGCTGCTATGTACAACACTCCAGCTCCTGCGACTCACACCAGAACACCAGCAGTCAGCAACCCACGCTTCCGCAGGTTAGTCTCATACTTCGCACTGATAAATAGCTCTAGATTCAATAAATCTGTTTGATCATGGCAGTAAACAAAATGGAATCTGTATGAAAATACTAAGATGCTGTTAGTTTAGGAACCATTTAGTAATGTTTTATCTTCAGCTTAATAATTTCAACATTTTCAAGTTTTTTTTTCGGGTTTGAAATTATTCTTGTGTGATCAGTTTTTGCTTAAAGTCAAAAAATGTGTCAGCTATCAATAAACTCATTGTAAAAGAGAAAAAAATATGTAAAATGAGAGGACATTCATTTTACAGTATAGTATATAGATTATATTATTTTTATTCATGAATCAGATGTTGATCACTATTAGATACAAAAATATACTGAAGATTGAATATTCACAGAATATGCTGTGAATTTTTTTTCTTTTGACCCTGATTATCACTTTATTTTTCAGTCAATCTCATACTGACTCGGCCAGAAAATTGAGGTCAATTGCTGAGGGTTTAAATCCTGGAAGGTCTAATGAGACCAACGGCATACAGTTTGCAATTCGGACGAGTAGCGGAAGGTCTAAAATACTCGTAACCTAGCCTAACCTAACCTGATCTAGCCTAGCCTATATTGTTTAAATATATATTTTTACCTAACCCGCCATGTTAAACTTCCCTATCCCAAGCGTGGTGTATACAACTTCTTTACTTCTCGAGTGATGTAAAGTTGAAAAAAACTCACTCGGTGATGTAATGAAACCCATTTAAATAGCATTGAGTGCTTAACTTAAAAAATATATCTCTATGGAGCCAACGACGTTCAACGCTAGAAATCAGCTGTGCGCTTGAATTTTATTGTTATGTTTTGAAGAATTTTTCTAACCTAGCTTTTGTTTGTAAATGAACGTTACTGTTAGAAGATAAGTGAAATGTATAATGAAAAATATTGTTCGTAACCTCCTGTATATTGTCGGGTCAGGTAAAATCTTGTACGTTACACGTTACGCAAGAGCGTGTTTACATCACTTAGGTTATTATGCAACTCGCTTCCGCTCGTTGCAAAACATTCACCTGTGTGATGTAAAAACGCTCTTACTACACTTGTAATGTAAATAGCTATTATAATTTTGATACGAATGAAGGAAGTCATGGTACACTTATCTCTTAGTAATTTAATTTGGCATCAATTATTAACAAAACATGATTACATGGTTTCGTACCATGATTACATTCCAGGTCCAGGTCAGTAGGAGAGGAAAGGTGGCTGGAACACAGACCTCGTGCTCCTGTACCTCTCAACACTGTACTGCAACCTCGTCTGCCTCGCCGCAAGAGTATTACACGTCTGACTGACCCAAGTGATCTCAACAACAAGGAGAAGTATTGTCTGATGACACAGGAGCAGGACAGTGACGGGGATCTGGAGACCTGCCTTTATAAGGTACAGGAGATATCAGTAAACATTTTCTTTGTTTTTCCTTTGTTCTGTTCAGTTAGGGAAAGCTACCTGTGTGTAGGTCTGTAAGTGTAAAGTGTTGTGTTTCCAGAGTGGACTCATTCAGGTAAGCTTGCGATCTTCTAAAAAATAATTTAAACCTTAGCCTGTGGGTAACAAGCTTTAGATTTCTCAATAAGCTCCTACACATATGCTCTTCCGACACTACTAAAACAGCGTATTCCTATATGGGAAATTCGCAAAAAAGTTTACCCGTATGGTTTTTAACCAAAAATCATATAGGCCTAGCGTGTAAAGAGTGCAAAACATAAAAGTAAACTTATTGATTCCTCAAAACAAACAATAATATAAATCGCAAAGATAACAGTTTTCATACAGTCTCAGCTTCACTGAAAGGTAAAAAAGCATAAAACGGAAATCAGTTGACAGTGAAAGAGTTAAATGAACCAGAGATTCATAAATCTTTTAAGCCATAATCCCCATAATCTTTTAAGCTTATGGACTGAACTGACACATTTACCAGCAGTTGCAACAAACCAACTGACACAGTCAATAGTAGCTACAAACGTTATTCTATGAGAGCCTTTTGGCCATTTGTACTCTGTGAGAACGTTATGATATAGATCCCAGTTATTAGTTTTCTTAGCTCACCTGAAATGGGCCCTCACTCTCCTTCTAAGAGATGCAAGACTCCACCAACTAGCCCTTTTGCTCTTTCCCTTGCGTAAGGAACAGTTATCCTCGAGGGATGTTACTATGTACCTGGCGAGACGGCCTGACTCATCAAGTGCCTCAACAGTGTTGATGTGTAGTGTGTTCAAGTTAAAGTCAATTTTTTTTCTCTGAAGCTTAGTCTTACCTGGGCTCCTGTATGCCCCCAAAGGGGAGGTAAATGCTCGGTGTTGGTATCGGCATTTTCAAGTAGGCCACAGACATGGACGACTGGGCATTGGGTCCCAGTGACATTCCTTTATTCCAGGATGGAGGGGTGTTTAGCTCTAGGAGAGATGGAAGTGCATCATATTCTCTAACCTACCTGTGTCTGTGGTTCTTTGGGCTTCGGCCTGCTTGTTGTGTGCGACCAGCATTCAGTGTGGCAAATCCTCGACTTTGGAAGTAACCTTTCCTGGAGGTGAAAACGGGCAAGTACCCGTAGCTCACGGGGACACTCAAGGGCAACGTAACTTTCCGCAGTGTGAGGGCAACGGTTTGTAGGCACTTATGCAAACCAATCCCTGTCTCTGAGCACGGATGGTATGGTTATCTTGAGTGTGGGGGGTTCTTCCCGGAACCTCAATTGAGTCAAGGGTGTCGCCACCTCTGGTGGATAGGTTCATCCGGGTGGGTCCCACTTCTATACCTGCCTCCTTTTGGGAAACCCTGATGGCCTGGCAGTGATGTTGGGTCTGACGGGCAAACGAAGTAGATCGGGTGCTGGGTCCGAGCCCGCCAGGGGAATCTGGGGATCTATCGCTCTGGTTATCTCTGGTTTCCCAGCAACTGGGTAAGGCCTCGATCGGGTAGTGGTGTAAATGGGAGGTTCCCCCCGTCAGCGTGCTGACGGTCCCCTTCCTTCTGGCTGTTGATGGCGGGTTTGCCTGTCAGGGATTAGATAGGTCCCGAGTGTAGCTTGCACTAAATGCGTCGGGGCGCTCCATTATGGTCCTCTAGGTCCCGACCTAGTGGAACCCAGATGGAGTGACGCTTAAACAAGCAGCCGGAATCCCTGGTTAGGATTGAGGGGCAACCCTCTTTCCGAAGGGTCTGCTTCGGCAGCCGGCGAGCCTGATGACCTTAAGTCATCCGCCCATGATGTGCTAAAGGTTGATGCGTAAGCTTCGGCCTACATCATGGGGCCCGGGTAAGTCTCACGACAGGTACCGGGTACGTAGTCAGGGGGCTTCGGCTCTCATGACAAATAATGTAATGTATGTAATGTATGTAATGTATGTATGGGCTCCTGTATGTGCGAACTTCATTACACAAATTCCTTATCTTAAAAACAATTTGCCGAGTCAGACAGGGATGGCTCGAGAGACACTGACTCCCAGTTTACTAATATTGGTTGTTTTACAGGGTGACGTTGTCCCCACTTGCAGTGGCGGCACTCAGGTGATTTTGAACGATGTCGAAATTTTAAAACAAAAGTCACCCTCCAACTCTCCTACTCGTAAACGTAGTGGCAACTATGTTGAGGAGAACATGCAGGACAAGTGTTTTATATCCATTGAAGGCCACGCCAAGCGGTCCAAACACTAGGCTCTCACCAAGTGATAAGTCTCGTTCTTACAATGTATCAGGTTTATACTCCTTCCAATCTCATTATGTAATTTAATGTTTTGTTGTATTAGTCCTTTGAATTATATATTTAACACCACAAAGGCCTAATCAAACTGGTTAAGGGCAAGTACAACTTGTAACAGTATTTTTACTATTAGTATTAACATTCGCTTTTTACTTAGGATTCACTGTTTTGTTATATATATTGCTCTCTAATTGTGAAATGTAATAATTCTGTGATTTAATTATATGACATTGTTTTTGCTATATGGAACAAATTTGAAATATTTATTTTTTTTAGTGTGTAACTTAGTTTAGTAATAAATTAATAGATCTAGTGTAAACTAAAGTGTACATGGTTTTATAATGCATAGTTACCCTACAAATACGGGGACAATACATTTTTAAATGACAAAAGTAACTCAAAAGTCTCATACTATTGGATATGTATAAACATCATAGTTACAATTTATTTAACAAATTATTTTTTGCTTTAGTTGTAATCCACATTGTAGTAGTTGTCTTGAGAACATTTCCTATTAGGTAAATACATTTAATTTGCCAGCACATTGTCTGTTATTTATTTGAATGTGCATTGTGCACCCCTTTCATTCATTTACTAACTAATTGAAGTTTATAAATTCAAATTTACACCATTGTCATTTAAAACAGCAGTGTCTGAGTCGGCACATAGCAGTTAAATCATGTTCTTATTCTTACCTTAAAATATAAAAATAATATTAAATTAGTTCTTTAATGTAGTCTAAGTTACTTCAAGAAATGCTTGACTGAGATAAAAAAAAAATAAATGGAGAACAAAATAGGGGATAGAATTTGTTCATTTAGCAAATTTATATTACTAACTTATAATTAAATAATAAACACTGTTTTAATTTATGAATATTAGGTACACTGAAGTTCCGTTTAGTAGCATAAAATTTAACAAAATATAGTTTTTGTTTAACAGAACATTTAACTTTGTTACTAAGAAATGTGAAATGTGATGTAGATACAAGTAAGCATGAACAGAGTTCACTGAAATGCCAATAGTAAATTGATGTAAAATTATTCTTAGATATTTACATGTTTGAAAATTTAAAACTAAATATATCCTGGAGTTTTTGTAAAGTACTATGTATTTAATATTTCGGGCCTATTCATGACATGCATTTTAGTCCCATGACAATCGGAAGTATAAACGATTAAGACTGAGACTAGAATAAAAAACTAATATCTGAATCTCATAACCCTTGCAAGGCTGCTTGGGATCTGGTTATTTCTAGGAAGGGTAGGAAGGATTCTCCTTTTTCCAATATATCTCCAGGCGATTTTAACTCATTTTTCAAAGAGTCAGTCGATCAGATAATTTAACCTATCTTAAGTTTAGTATTACCAGTAGTAAAATTTGAGTTATAACTCAATTTGGACATTATTTGATGACTGTAGCTAATGAAGTTCCTAAAGATTTGCAGAACTCTTAGGTTTTTGTAAAAACTGCTTGCTAAAGCACACACTATTCCTATGAATTCCTTTCTGAGTGATAGTGTTAAAACAGTTCACATTTGGTGTTATCAGGTAGAACTTTAGGGGAACAATAATTGTAATTCTAGTGCTAGCAACCAAACAAGTAGTATAATTATTAACATATTTTTTATATTGATATTATTGATAACATTTAATAGCCTAAATAATGTCATTTTTTTGTAACCAACTCTACGTCAAATAAAAAAAATACAAATTGTTGTGTAGGCCTAATTCAAACTTAATTCATGCCATGAATTCTGGTATTTTTGTATGTTTTGAAAGGCTTACTCTTTGATAATATCCTTAAAAATTCATAGATTGAATGATGTAACTATAAAAACATGAGTCCTCATTTTAAAGTGATAACAGAGCATGTTGTACGTGTTATTTGTTATAGTTGATAGTAGTAATGTTATGTTTATATTTAATATTATACTGACCCTATTGATTAATATTTTTTTATAAAAATATAGAGGTTATCTGTAAAAATGCAGTTGTTATTGTCTTCCACTTTTTTTCAAGATGAGTCAATTGAAACATACATGCAATGATGCTTCAGCATTATTTCAAAGCTAATGAGATTGATGACGATACTAAAGTTTTTGTTTTAATAACTGTTGTAGGCCCACAATTTTTTACTATTTTGTCTGATATAGTTTCACCTGCAGCTGTAGATAGCAAAAGTTATGAAGAGTTAGTTGTTAAAGTGCTTGAGAACTATTTTTCTCCAAAGAAATTGGTGGTAGCAGAGAGATACACTTTTTATTCTCGTGAGAGTTTTTCAGAGTGTGTTGTAGCAATTAAACATTTAGCTAGTTCATGTAAATTTGGCACATTCTTAAAAGAGGCTCTTAGAGACAAGCTTATTTTAGGGATAAGTAATTAGGTCATAAGACAAAAATTATTGTCTGATGATCAAGAATTTGATGAAGCTTATAGTTTGGTGCTCAGATTTAAGTGTTACAGAGGTCAGTCACATAATACATTAAAATCGCTAACTATCGGCTAGTTATGATTTTTTTATATGTTGTTAGGACCACTACCAGTAGTATATACCCAAGTTTGCAGCTTTGAAAGACTTGTGCTGAAAGCGTAGCACAGGACCAGGCGACTGATACAGCAAGTCCAACCTTGGGTTAATCGGTGGTGCGGGGAGGTGAACTTCTACCTCACCCAATTTCTGAGCTATGTCACCCGATTGCGTATACTGCCCAGGCATTCCCGACGACTTGGAACATACTTTCTTCCACTGCCAGCGTTGGGAAAGGCCCCGCCTGGCGCCTCAACAATTTGTAGGACTGCTGTCAGTGGACACGGTCATACCGATGATGATGGAGGGTGAGGACAATTGGACCTGTGTGTCACATTACTGTACATCCAGGGTGTTCTCCTTGCCAAGAAGCTCGACCTTGGCCGGGATGTGGTGTAGGTTAGGGGTAGCGGATTTTTATCCCCCTGGAATTTTACCCCCTGGGCAAACGTGACGTCACAAACCAGGGGGTGAAATTCCGGCCGCAAACTTTTGAGTTTCGCGACATCAGCTCGATGGATTAAACGCGGAATTAAACATATATTTTCACAGTTGTGAATTTAATCAGAACACATCAAATTATAAAAACCTAGAGTGTACGGCCCGGATTTTTAGCCCCCGGAATTTTACCCCCTGGCCAGATGTATAAATTAGTGAGAATGATTAATTATCTTCATTCTGTTTTAATTTAATACTAATAGTAAACATTTTATTATTAAGTAGCCTATATTAATTTATTTGTAACATTAACTAATCGAACATTTTTTAAATTTTAATTTTGAGATTATAGTATTAGGAATATGACGTATAAACAGTCAACTGAATGATAATTGTTTCGAACATTTCTTTACAAAATAAATAAAGATAGGCTACTAAATAATGAAATGTTTACAATTAATAAAAAAAACAGAAATAAGAAAATCAATCATTCCATTTCTAAAATCGGCCAGGGGGTAAAATTCTGGGGGATAAAAATCCGGGGGTAAAAATCCGGCCCGTACATCTTCAGACTGGGACGGGTGGCGTCGTCCTGTAATCCAACTACTAGGAGGTGACGAATTGTGGATATTTATAGGCATGCACTGTGGATGCGATACTCCCTGGTGTGGATTAACGTCCGCACAGGTGAGTACTCCGACTATCTGCAGTACTATCCTGATAATTAGACCAATTCGTATATACCAAGGAAAAAATGTGGTTCGGATTCCACTATAAACTGTAGGTCCCTTAGTCGCCATTAGCTGTATGGGCTATTAATTAACAGCTGTATCTAAGGAATATGTCGGCCTTAGTCACAAACAAGACTACAAGATTGCGCCACTCATCTCCATTCATACTTGGCTTAAAATACCTACTTTGTATGGTCGCCATTTCAAAGAAAAGTATTAAAGTATTACGTTGTCTAAACGCTAGTTATATGGACAGGGGGTAAAATTCCGGTTTTTATTGCTAATTTAATTAATCACGCTCTGGCTATTTTCATTAGACTTCCAAATCCGCGGGGGTAAAATTCCGGCCGCGAACAAACTTTTGGCCACTCAGGTTACTACGTCATAGTGACGTCAGCTTTGCCCAGGGGGTAAAATTCCAGGGGGATAAAATTCCGGCGACCCGTAGGTTATAAGAAATATAAATGCCAGAAACGGTGCGAGTCCTGAGGCTTAGGTCACATGTTGGCTTGACTTGAAGTAATGTGATAAACAATTCCAGGTCTGTGTCCAACAGAGCAGAGGGATTTTTATAGCGAGTAGTTTGATCAAATTCAGGAGTCTCACACTACAGGCTGGCTACCTGTGTGCTGTGGACCCCCTTGTTGCTGACCACTGTGCTGTCCTAATGAATGTGTCCACTGAAATAGTAAGTCATCAACCTCAGACAAGTTTGACATAGCCTTTCCAGTTGTGGTGAAAAGAGGCCAAAAGTTAACAACCATGTCTAAGCCTAAAAATCTTTCTAAACCCACAGACTGGTATACACATGAATTAGCTGAATTAAAAAATTGTATCTGTTTTCTTTTTGATCTCTGTAAGACAGCTCCAAATGACGAGCTAAAGGTCAAGTTTTATGACAAGTATCTAGCTGCTAAGAGGTTGTACAGGAAAGAGGTTACTGTTGCTAAAAAAATATGTAATAAAAAACTAATATCTGAATCTCATAACCCTTGCAAGGCTGCTTGGGATCTGGTTATTTCTAGGAAGGGTAGGAAGGATTCTCCTTTTTCCAATATATCTCCAGGCGATTTTAACTCATTTTTCAAAGAGTCAGTCGATCAGATAATTAAGGAAATACCCAATATGAATGTCAATCTAGCTCACATGGTAACAAATGCCAGTAATTCACATTTTAACAACTGGCAACCAACTACCACCCATAGCATTCTTAGGATAGTTAGCAGCTTTCCAACTCGGTCAGCCAGGACATCTATGGAGTTTCTACCATAATACTCAAATCTGTCATTACTACTCTAGTTAAACCTTTGACATTCTTAATCAACTACTGCCTGCAGAATGGGATATTTCCTGATGCACTAAAGAGGGCTAAAACTGGGCGTTTTCAAAAAAGGTGAACACTCAAGTCCTTCCATAGTTACAGGCCTATATCAGTCGTCCCTACTAGGGAAACTCTTTGAAACAGTAATGAAAACCCAATTGATGGACTTTTTGAATCAAATTCCCTTTTTTCTCAGTCCCAACATGGTTTTCGCCCGTCTAAATCAACTGTGCCAGCAGTGACTGAACTTGTCTCCAAGATTACTGCAGCTTTTGAGGAAAGGGAATATGTGCGGCTAACGCTTTGTGGCCTTAGTACAGTGGCGTAACAGAAGGGACCGCAATGCGGGGGGCCCGGGAGCTGAGGGGGCCCGCGAACCGGTGAGCGGGAAACGGTGAGCAGAGAGGCCCGTGAGACGAGTGGGGCCGGAAGATTGGATCTCATTCTTATTTAAATTTACTATCAATCATTCAATAAATGTATTGAACAAGTAATAAGATTGATGTCATTAATAATATGTTGTTATCTGTTATCATTTAATTTCGTTAGGCCTCTTCAGTGATAATTAACGAACTAGGGTAACAAATTTAACGTATTATAACGTGGGTCTTTTGTGCAATCTTACTTTCGTCACCGAGTGAGAAATATATTACTTCTCGGTGATTTCGTACACTGCTCATGTCATCTGCAAACATTTTGAAACATTGTTACTTTGGAGCCTGGAGTCATGAACGTTGGCTGGGGCTTTTAGTATTATTTTACATTTTTTGTTTTGCCCTAATATTGATTGTATTTTGTTAAATACAATATACTGCTACTCTACTGACTGTGTTTGTTAGCTCATATCTTATTTAAATGTATTATCAATCATTCAATCGCGCTATATCGCCCACCCCCGCGGGTGTCCGTGGGGGTGGGCATGTCCGATTCTAAATCACTTTCCCATAGATAGGCTATATTTCCAATTGATAGTATTTACATTCATTGCTGCTTTGTTCATTGCAAATAATTTTGTTCATTTAACCTAATAAATTAAGTTTTGAATTCTACTCGGAATTCGATCTTTGAATTTCTACCCTTCCCGTGCGTGGTTGTTGTGTGTTCGCTGATCCCAACGATCCCAACCCAACCCTAACCCCAAACCAAATCAAGGTGGCCGTGCGTGGCTCAAATCAAAAATCAAAGACTCCACTCACTCACCTAGTTCTCTGTTGACTGTTCTGTTCTGTTCTCGTTCTCAGTTCAGTTCAGTTCGTTTTGTTGTGTGTCGTCGTCGTCGTCTCGCCCTCCAGCCAATCAATCAGCGTTTGGCGTTTGGCTACTGCTGGCTAGCTTTTGCCTTTGCGTTAGTTAACGTCATATTGATAATGTCAGCCCAAAGTGTGCAAGTGATGTTTTATCAGTGAAAACATATTGTGTGGTACTCAACAACAGACTTCAAATTAGTTCCCCCTTTAGGAAGTTTTATAAACTGTCTAGGTGTTATTTTGTAAATCAATCTGGCACTTGCGCTTTCTTATCGTCTGATTTGAAGTAGGACTAGCCTACATGACAACTGATCGCTTGTAGAAGGAGGACAAATTGAAGACATCAGTGTGTAATAAATATAGGCCTATTAATTTCCAAAGAAACATTATAACCAATCACCGCAGACAATCTTCGAGCTCTAAGCAGGCTAGGCATTTGAAGCCTAAGCCCTTAAAAACTAAATGATATCCCTCATCGGCCTTGGTGACCACCCTTCTGTGTCCATACATTGAATCATGTCAAAAAATAAATTAAACCTCACATTACCTCCGGGATCAGTTGATACAGTTAATGTTGTTTCACCTTCTGCAACAGTAGCTATTGATACCGAGTAAGTAGTTATCTTTGTATAGTAACAGACTAATAAAATTAAATTGTGTCCTGGTAATGGAATAAGGTTAACAGAATTTTTTGTCAAGTACGTAGTGTAGTGTCAGATATTGAGAATCAGTTAAAGCTAGGCCATTCAAGCCTAAGCCTGACGGACTTAGATGATTTCCCTCAGCGCCTATGGTGTCCACCCTCCTGTGATGATTTATTGAATCATGCCAAAAAATAAATTAAACCTGACATTACCTCCGGGATCGATTGAGCAAGTTGACGTTGTATCACCTTCTGCATCAGTTGCTATTGATATGGAGTAAGTAATATTGTTTCTGTTATAAAAACCATTATTCTGAGAGCCTAATTTTCCATTAATCCAGTGATGTTTAATTTCCGTTTTAGCTTAGCCTGTAACTGCTAAGTCTTACAATTTAGCCTACTGGTACAACAACTAACTGTCGACCTCAGTCTAAACTAACTTAACTTTGTCATTTACAGTCCCAGAGATTACAGTTTTAAACGTTAAACTCATTTTAGGTCATAAGTTTAGATTTACTACGGCTGCACTTTACTTTACGTCCTACACTCATTCGAATGAAACTATCGATTGTTTCATTCAATATATCGTTTGGTTAGTTAGGTTAGGTTAACCTTACCTAATTAACCAAACGATATAACTTATCGAACAATCGATATATCGATTGATATTTTCTTTCGAATGAGTGTAGGACGTAAAGAAAAGTGCAGCCTTTACCACTAATACTGAAACCCTACCCAGGCTGACGCTAACCTAAACCCCTGGTCTGTGAGACCCCATTAATGGACCCGCTTAGAAACACACAAACTGAGACCCCGCTTTAAAAAAACACTAACGCTGGGCTTTGAGATGGGCATGAGCAGACAACCCTGTCAAGGTCATGGCACCCAAGGAAAATGAACAAACAATAAGTTATATCAACAGGTAGGGGAGGAAAAGGGGGCAAGGTATTGGGGGAATTGAATCCCCCAAGTAAACAGTGTTGCCAACATGCGTTTATGAAAATTCCCGTGGGTCTGTCAGACCGGGGTTTTGGTATAAGTGTTAAGCACAGGTCAAGTGTTACTTTGTAAGTCAACTATAGGTCGGCCGCTTAGAAAACGACCTCCTCCAGCATTGGTTTAGCATTAGCGCGCAGGTAGTTTTCTAAGCGGCCGAACTATAGACTATTCTTTATGACAGAAGTTGTTAACTTAAATAAGCTTATGACAATAACATGGTTTAGTTATATTTTTTTTATGATAAGGAAAGTAAGTTTAGGTAAACTTAGGGTAAGTTTTATTATTTTTAAGGCTTAATAACATTTTTGTAACTTATGGGCTTGTTTATATTGATTCAGTTTTAAATGAGAAGTAAAAATTGTAGGACTTAGCTGGGCCTACATGCGATGGAGAAAATTTATAGATGTCAGCTAGGCATAGGCCTACTTACTAGTTCTCAGTAAGTTATTTTAAATTGAATTAATATAAACAAGTTAAGTTAACAGTATTTATTTTGTTTCTTTTGAAAGTGATTCCTTTTTTATTTCTGTCTTGGATTAGCCAGAACGCAGTGTATTCTAACCTAAACTTTTTATATTTTAGGAAGCAGAATAATGAACCAGTGTCAGCCGGTGCTAAAAGGTATCTCCAACACCTTTCAGTAGCTCACTGTGGCTAATTTATAATATCATTGTTGACCTTCATATCTCTTGGGTTCTTACATGTTGATCTGTTTTCCTTCATATTCTATGTAGGTTCAACAGAGCATACCATTTTGTGTCTAATCGATCATTGACCCCTAATAGTTCTTCTTTTAACCTTTTCTTTCCAATTTTTCCAATTAATTAAATAACTGGTTAATTCTTCTTATTCTTTGTGTACCGTAGATGTAGGCTTGCCCACATCTACGTTTGGCTAAGTTGACTTACTTAAGGTTAACATAAAATAAGGTTAGTAACCTTATTTTATGTCAATAAATCAATCCAGGAGGCAAATTATGTAGGTCAACTATAATTAGTTGGGGATTTTTTTATAAAATAGGCCTGCATCTTATTCTGGGTTTACTGTCATTCATTGTTTGGCCTAACATTTATATAAATTTTGATTAGGGTGACTTGAAATTAACTTAACTTAATGTCTGTTAGTTTGACTAATTATGAGATTTTTACCAAAAATACTTAACTTATAGGGCTTATTTAATTGGATGTTTATTTTTATGATTTAAAATTTCGTTGGCGTGTCTACTAAAGCGAGCTATAGGAACTAATGCCAATGAAGGGAACAAAAATTACTACCGTAAGCTAAGTAATTGGTTAGTTTGAGACCAATAGTCATTTAGGCCTAATTTGTATGATTAATTTTAGGTACCGGTAAGTGTCTTTCTAAATTTGATTTGCCACAAAAATCTGGAATGATTAGGTAGGTAGGGTGTCGTTTATTGAAAAACTTTAAAATTAGACAGCACTGCCTTTTTTTTAAATAAAATTCTCAATAAAAGATACTCTACCTAATCATTCCAGGTTTTTGGACCAAATTATATTCTTGATGTATTGTCGAGGCTCCTCATGCATTTTTTTCACTGTTAGGTATATTTTAGATAGACTACTAAACCTTTTTTGGTAACATGGCCTAACTTTAATAGCCGAGTTAATATTTCTTTTTAACTCTTTTAAGAAAAATAAATCTACTGTAAGTTACTTCATAACTATTCTTTCATAATATTAGTATCAAAATTAATACCCTTAAATTTTGTTCTGTGATATTAATAGGAGAGCTATATTGCTACCTTTAGAAATGCTCTCTCTTAAGGGTTGTTATAGCAACAAAACAACCTTTCTACTCCCCTCCCCTCTAAGAAAAAAAAAAAAAAAAAAAAAACACCTTCCAGCTTTATCAAGGAAACTCACAATCAAAACATCTCGGATATCTATGACATACATCAGTAACATAATTGGGTGCTTTCCTGTTAAAGGGAACATTCATTATTATCAATGATTTCTTTTAAATATAGGCCTATAGTTATTTTATTTTTATTCGATATATTGATATTAATAAATTGAAACTTATCAGCTGACAACTACGATAAATAAATATTGTTCAGTAGGCCTATCAAGAAAAACTTTATAAATTTTAATACTGTAGGCCTACGTTTGTACCATGACTTAGCTAATGCAATATGTAGGCCTATTGTCAATTTAAGCTCAATAAAATGGTTTAATTTGATTTGATCAACAAACAATAAAAAAAATATTATATTGAAATGAAATTGTTCTAAACTGACCTAACTAACCAAACTTGCTGTAAAATTTCAAAATTCCGTTCAATAGCCTATTCCCCATATGCCTTTCCTGTAATCAAACGGAATTTTGAAACGGTAACTTAGCCTATAGAAAGTTTGGTTAGTTATGAAGTTATGTTAGGTTGGTTTAGAATAGTTTCATTTCTTGATCCAATATATGGCTATTATTTTTACCTAAACAAGATTAGTTCCTATTCTCTAATACAAGCTATAACTCAATAACTCGGTTATTGAACCAAGTATAACTTTTAGTCATATTTGCTATGTCTGTTTGTCTGTAAATTTAAATGTGTTTGAAGATATTAAAACAGATGGAATATGGATCGTCAAAGAAAACAAAAATATCGATATATCGAAAAGAAATCATCGATAATAATGAATGTTCCCTTAACAGGAAAGTACCCTTACTTGTTTGTACGTCCTTTAAATTTTAAAACAAAACCACTACATCATAGCTCTGTAGGCCTACATGACTTTTGACTCATGTTACATAGAAGAAGAACTGCCCTGTCAACAAGTGATATGAACAAATTAGCCATGGCTTAGTGCACTGGAATGATCCTAGTGTCTATTCAAAGATCCGTATTGTATTAGCTGTCTCATTACCTGATCCGATGCTTTCTGTGCTCTGCTTCATTATAAAGTAGTTCATCCTAAACTCTTTGACCACAAATTCCGCCTTTTGTTCTCATCAGCACTCCAAGTTGTTAAACCCCGTTTTAAGTATTGGTACGGTAATCAATCGCTTAATCAAATGTACATTTGTAAAATATTAACATGTGTGATTTATGCTATACTAAAATCTCTCCATCATGAGGTGTAGTCTGTACCACCTTAATGAAATATTAGAAAATTGTGGTTGAGTTAACCACAAATTACAAACCTTGTAATTATATATGCTGTATAAATCAACAGGAACAAAAAACAAGCTGAAACCCTCAGACTAGTGTTATCCTAATGTTTTTAGGATGGTTGTAGTTGTGTAATAAAACACAAGTCAACAAGAGCTTTTGACACTTTTCCCTCTCTGTGAGAGTATTACTAATGGAAACAACTTGTTTGCTTGATGTTTGATCTTATTACATACCTATATATATTTTTTTAAAGCCATATAAAATTAATATAAAAGCCAGAATTTGGATTTTTATAGAATACTTTTTTAATCTTGTAGTTTACCGTAAATTAGATGCTAAGACATTTGTGTCTTCCAATATGAAAACAAAAATCTGGATAGGATTATGTTTGAATTAATTGCACCTAATTATCCACATCTTAGAATAAATTCTGATATTTTCACAAATCAAATAATAACTCAATATTTTTATCTGTAAGTAAAACAGAATGGTTTTGTATTCAATAATTTTAAACTTCCAACCTTCTACCACAGAAAACATACTACTATAACCCAGAATGCCAACCGCATGGTAAAAAGCATTAAGTACTTAGAGAGAGCTTTGCCTGTCAGTTCGTAGGCAGCGCCACCAGCGTTGCTATGCACTCAGCTGCCTACGCTGCCTACGAATTGACAGGCAAAGAAAGTACTTAACGCTTTTTACCATGCAGTTAGCATTCTGCGTTATAGTAGTATGTTTTCTGTGCTTCTACTTTCAACCGGTAATCATACTGTTATGTCATTTTTGAAGGATCTTATCTTCAAGACTATAGCCTATCTTTATTCTTATTTGTAAGAAATTTAAAAGAGCATTTTTGTTCAGGTGTACTTTTACATTTGTACGTACTTTTGCAATATACTCATGTTTTCTCTAATTTTTTACTTGTTAGAATTTAAAGTTCTGTGCATATCTTTTGACTATGTTCATCTATAATAAATTTTGCGACCTCTGACAGATAGCTTATGAAAATAAGCAGGATTAAAGAATATTTTAAATCTTCGCCTTGTTCAGAAATGTAAAACAAGCAGATTTCGTGGTCAAAGAGAATGATTGTAGAACTAATCATGGTTGTGCCATTCCAGATCATAAGTGTTAACCTGCCACCAATTCATTTGTCTACCTAGCTGTCTTGTCATAGTTGCTTCATAGCTCATTTCATGGTTCTGGGAATTATCAATTTTAACCATAATATCACACAGGGTTCCCAAAAATGTGGACTGCAAGTAAAATATGATTGTTTTTTCAAACCAAGTCATTACTGTAAAATTGACACTAAAGAAGTACGGTAAAGTTATAAGTGAAAATGAAGTGAAAACTTTCAGATGATGTGAAGCCTATCATGTTTCAAATTTAAAAGTTTTGTGTGGAAATCATTGCAAATAAATACTTCTGAGCAGTGTTTGTGGCTGGCATACCTACGTCAAATGATGAGGCAATGATAATAATTGATAATGACACTGCCAGAAATAAAACAAAAAAACAATACCGTACTTAAAAATCCCCAAAAATAATATCTAACATTTTCACTAGCTAAAGAAGTGATTATAAAATTTGTATGGGGAGCCATACACATACAAATTGTATACTGTGTGTGGTACTAAGTTATTGTATCGTCAGGGAGTGTAGCTTTAATCTCAACAGTTGTCCAGAAATTATATATCATACTGTGGCAGGTAGTAAAATAGGCTAATTTTATTATGACAATGTGAATGCTATTTATTTGGTTTGGTTGTAAAATGTCCCATAAGTTAGTTGTGAATGAAGCTTTGACTCGCTAAACTTGGGTTGGTTAAATTGAGGATGCAAAATACTAACCCCCCAAAAAACCACCCCCCCCCCCCCAGGTGAAATGTTTTGTCACGAAATCTGCCAACTAAGGCCCAACCAATAATGGGAGCCGTGTCCCCTACTGGAATACTACCCCCTTTAGCAAAATATTTCATACGTAATAATTATCATTGCAATTTTAATTTTAATTAGAGTAATTCCGCTTGATAAAAGAAAAGGTTTGTGGGGGATACCAAACAGAATTTTAAAATGTTACAGCAAGTTTAGTTAGTTACTTATGTTGGTTTAGGACATTTTGACAACAAAACTTGAGTGTCCGTGACTGAAAAACTATATTATGATATTATGAAACATCTGTAATTTTGTAAAATATTAGTGAATTTCCCTATAGGGTAGTAGCTATTACCGTAGGTGGCTCGGTAAGACCTAGGCCCGGGGCCGATTTACTTTTTCATTTTGATGTACCTAGGGGCCAAAAACACTATTCGTTGAAATTTTTATATATGTACTTATATAATTATATATATGTCCGAGAACGTGATAACGAGAAATTTTTGTCCGATTTTTATGAAATTTGGCTTGAAGGTGTATGGCGGAATGAACTTGAATGAGTTCTCGAACCAGCACAATCGGGCCATGGGAACAGTGTTTTTTCCCATTTTTGACCCTTAAAAACAAAAAATTTCTCAATTTCTCTCCAGACAATTTTGTAGAGCTTAAAAAACACATAATAAGGTATAGGGTATTATAAAGTGTTTTTGTACAATTATTAGGTTACGGAGATTATTCAAAAAATTGTAAACTTAAAATTTCCATGTTAGGTACTGTATTCTTTTAGAGAATAAGTAAACTCTTGTAGTTTGCTCCTTTTATGGATATATTTTGATCAAACGTGATAAATTTTCATTCATTCATTCATTTATTTATTTTATATTAAGCTATAATATTTTACTAATTAACACAATCTTTACCTTCCCTGTAGCAGCAAACCTAGGTACTCATTTAACCTAATGTTTTTTAATTTTAAATAATATTTAGGCTAAGTGAACATCAAATCAGGCAATTGGAAATTCGCTTAGTCTGCAGGTTTGCTGTGGCAGGGGATACTCCTTTTTAATACATACCAAAATTCATTCATTTTATAGTGTCTCTTTTATAGTTAAAATGTTAAAATTAAAATCAAGTGTTGATGGTGCCTATAATCACAGACAATAGACCCATTAATTGGTATATAGTCTGTGCTATAATCCACCACTTTGAAAAACAAAATAAAATAGGAGAAAAACTATTAGAAATTCTTAGTTTCAATATTGGGTTCCAAAAAATCTTGGCAAGATTAAAAAAACAGAGATAATTACTTCAGTAACAGATCTTGGTGAAAATGAGAATAATTTTATGGCGATGTTTCTACTACAATTCACATTAAGCCGAGTTTTCCTAGAAGCTGAAGAGAAGCGCGGAGTGGAGAAGCGGATAAACATGTCATTCCGCTCCACTTCTAGGAAAAAGTAACATTAAATTACCTAACACAAGAGGAGTCTGCGCTCCGCTTCCGCGCCTAGGAAAACCGGCTTTAAGGCCTAATTTTAAGGTTCAGTTGGATCAAATGATTTTTACTATTCTTCACTATATCCATATTTATGTAGGAAAAGGTATGTTATCAGAACTCTATGAACTATAAACCACATTTAAATAATCTGATAACGCCTGATAAATATCATATATCGGTAGATCAAGAAGCAATTGATTTGATAGTTTCATTATGTAGGTAAATAGCACATCACTCCTATTTAACTCAATCTTAATGTCGAAATGGGACTTATTCTCTCAAAGAAAAACTTATTAAAGCTACAAAAAAGGGAAAGCATCGAAAATCCCTTGAAAAATTTTTAGAATACAAAAATTATATGCTTGAATACTATTTGTATTTAACATGTTTTAATCAAGTACCAAACACCCATTTCTTTTAAACTAAGTTCTACTGTAGGCCTACTGGTTTGTTATCCATCCGTCCGTTAAATGATCCAATTAGGAAATGACTTGGCAGTAGAACATTGGTGCGAACGTTCAATTTTAACCAGCTTTATCAGAAACACATTTCCCTGTAATCTTTTTCAAAACAGTTTTTTTTACCTTATGTTTACTTTTCTTTTGTAGTGCATGGAAAATGTTAGATTTTTATTTTGTTTTGCTTCCAATTATTTTGGCTTGCTGTTGAACCTCCTAACAAAATCCATAAGGCAAAAATGTACACATTTGTTTGTAGTTTGTAGCTTAAAAATACCTCATCAAAATAACCCTCGTTGTCAAGTCTTGCTAGTTACATTTACTTAGTGTTGAGGGTATTATTCTGGTCAAAGTTGGTTTGTTTATTAATCAAGGTATTTGTAGTGTCTAACAAAAATGGAGGTTAAACAAACACTAACACAGTATATATATTAACCATAGTAGTGTTTAGCTCAATGTTTAAAATTATTAATAAATCTGTTCAAACAAACCTAATCCCAAGAATGAAATGTGCTTACACATTGAAACACACTGACAAAATGTTTGTTGTCCCCTTTGAACTATCTGGATTCAAGGCTTCATCTACATTAAATTTGTTAATTCCATTTCTGCGTATGCTTGGTTTTATATCGTGAACTAAAGGAAAAGATACTTCCATTTTTGACCTGAATAACATGAATTTTATATACTTGGTGGATTACAATTGGCCTATACCAAAGTAAATAATTTAATCATTGTTTTGGTTCAATGTACTTGGTTCTATGAGTTGTTACAAAATTTGTTGTCGACAACACAACCACAGTGAAAAAATTTAATTATGCTCAGAATCTGATGAAAGATGGCTAGTTAGAAATGTAATTATTACAAACACAAATTAATTCTTGTACCTAGTCAGACGCATTATATTGAAGAAAAGTTTTGTTAAGAGGTATGTTACAGAAAAGTATTGTTAACACGTTCGCTGCTGACGACTCCGATCGGCACAGTGTGCGTACGACTACAGTCGGAGTAACGGTGCAGTGTTATACAAGTTGGTCTATTGTGACCTCCGCATTTATCGGGGATCAACTAAACTATGTCAGCTATGTTGTGCTGGTCCTTTACTTTAACTTTGTAGTAAAATTTCCCGTAAAATCCCGTCTGGCAACGCTTTTTGTCCCATATTCAGGTATTCTCTCTCTCCGAGCAAGACCCCATCTGAGCCACATTACAAAGACACTGGCAACGGATCCAGGTAGTGATGCTGCCCCTATTTTTCTGGTTAAGTCAAAATTTTCCGTACTTTTGTCAAAAAATGTTTCTGTGATACTTTTAAATTTAACCACCTGAAAACCTTTAAAAATTGTATTATTAAGTCTTGAATCCAGGTACAAAAAACAAAATTATAAAATATTCATTGTAAATTTGTATTGAAATATTGGATTGAACGATTAGATTTGTTATTCACAGTTGTTCATTGATTTAAAAATATTTCCTAAAACCGTTGTTTTTCTCTTTAGCCTACTTGTTTTGAAATATTGTTGTCTTTAAAAGTTTTGTTTCAAACAACAGTAAACCAAAGCTTAATATTAGATGGAAGAAAAATAATAAAGGAATACCCTACCCTTGTTTTTGTTAAGGAAACATGTTACCAATTGTATAATACAGCTAGATCTTAAATACTGAAATTTTAACTATCAAATCTTTCTGAGTCGTTACACAAAGAAATTAATGAGGTGGATAGTCTTGTTGAAAAGTTAGACTCTATTGCTTGCATTATTTAATAACAAACAGATTCTGTACTACTGTGAACCCTTGACATTTAGCTGTTAAATGTGACATAGAAAGATCTACAACACGTGGTAAGTCACATAAAGCTTGGCTAGCAAAGTGACAAATGTTTTTTTCTTAAAAACAAACTTATTTTGTCCAGTCTTGAGTGCCATTATGCATTCATTTTAGCTGAATAAATTTAGGCTTATTCACAAATTATCTGCAGCCACTTGAAACTTATAACTCTGATACTATAATAATAATAAACTGGCACAAAAGTTTTACTCAAGAAAATAGACAGAGGTTTTAGAAAATTACAATAAAAATATATTCATTGCTGGAAGGGCTTTTTCATCGGTTCGGATAGTTTGAAATGAAAGTTTTATTGTATTAGTTAGTTTGTATTATACAATGGGTGCATATTTAAATGTAGAACAACTGTGAATGTGTGAGGAGGTTCAGCAGTGAGTGTCTAAGTTGTGTTGATTCTTGTCCGTAGATGGTCACCCCGTGGCAAGCCTCAGTTGAATCTGACGCCACGAAACACCGCCTTTAGTGAGTCCGTATCGGTCAAGCCACCACCAATAAATAGGTTAGGAACAACACAACTCAATCATTCGTTTTAAGACTCATTGTCGTATTGTTGTGGATATTAATGAGGCATATAGATGAATTTTATAGTTTTACTGTTGTAAAGTTACATGTTAACATTCCTTAAAAAAACAACAAAGCAGGGAGTGTATAAGTGAGTCCCCTAAACATTACACAGTTACATAGATAGACATTCTCTTTAAATGTTGTAGGTTTTAAATCAGGCCCTATGCAACAATATTTTTCTTTTCCAATATTTTGTTATTTTAAATAAATTGGAAATGTAAAATATTGATCTACAAATTCTATTTGTATATTTATTTATTTCAAGGACAACATTTCATAAAATTGTTAACCATTAGTCTTCTGAAGATGTGTTGGTTAACGTAAGGTAATTACAATATACAAAATATAGAAACAAAAAAGTAAATATTTTGATGCAATTCTTTTCAGACTTGAGTCAAAAACATAAGCTTTGGGATCTATTAGACATATTTTTTGCCATTATAAGCAGGCAAGGAAAAAAGAAAAATTGTTGTCCATAGGGTATTTACATTTAATTTGTTTTATATGATTATACATTTTTTGTTTGCAGCAAAAAGAGCTCATCTACTTATAAATTACACATTTATTACATCCTTGAAAATTACCACTCGCATAATGAAATTTGAGCAGCAAGCAGATGCAAAAATGGGAAAGTTATAAGTGTATATAAGGCAGAATGCTCTATAATGTTAGGCCTAGCTTAGGCAATCTTGTAGAATAGAAAAGGAACTAGCACTGGATATTAGACAGTCAATTTGTATTGGTTTTTTATTCAATAACTTCTTGATCAGCATTGTACGAGTTTAAATTTACAGAAAGCAAATAAAAGAAACGTCTTATAACACTTAAAACATATATTTACGCTTAGGCCTATACTCACAAGATGGTAAATACAGTATACAAAAAAGATGGTAAGTGGTGATCGATTTCGATTGGACACTCCAATCATCATCAGACCCAATAATAGGCAAATGACAAGAATCTTGAATGGCGTCCCTACTTATACCCTATAAAATCTAATCTATAAAATCAATTGTAACGATTGTGATAGCTTCTACATTGGACAGACTGAGCTTCGTTAACTGCTTCAAAAACCACATATCTGCGTGGAGGAACAACAAACCGGAAAGATCAAATGTCGCACAACACCTGTTACAAAATGGCCACTCAATAGAAAAAATGGAGGATAGTCTATGTATTTTACAGAATTGTAAAAAAGGATATGTAATGAATGCTTGGGAAGAATTGTATATTTATAAGGAAAATGTAAAAATAGAAATAAGTTGATTAATGAACAAGTAAATTTCGATTCCAGTTGTACTTATAAAAATGTATGGGCCGGTGCTTCCGGTAGTCAATAGGGTATAAGTAGGGACGCCATTGAAGATTCTTGTCATTCGCCTATTGGGTCTGATATTGGAGTGTCCAATCGAAATCGATCACCACTTAGGCCTACTATCTTTTTTTTATATTTACCGTCTTGTGAGTAACAGTATAAGCGTAAATATATGTTTTAAGTGTTATAAGACGTTCCTTTTATTTACTTTCCGTTATTTAATCATTAACAGTTCAATTCAATTCACTTAACCTAGGTGTTATACTTTGATCATCATAAAGCAAAGCCTTAGGTATTATGTTTATATATCTTCTACTTCAGGACTGGTTGTCTATTATTTTTATAATAATTGTAGTTTACCCGTAACGCTGGTTTTTGTTCCTTTTATTGTTTCCTGAAAATAAGAGTGAAAAACAAGTTATATGTTTAAAAATATCTCAACTCGAGGATGTGATAGCCACAGTTTGATAAGATATTTCCTTACTGACAGAAATTGTATGCTAAAACAACTGTTGGTTGCGACTAAAAACAACATTTGACTTTTTTTATGTTTAGTTTGTAGGCTTTGTTATTTACTAATTTAAAATTGATTTTTTTATAATAGTAAACGTAACAGTAGTGTGGTAAGGAAATAAGCTCTTATTGAGTAGGTCTCATGGTAATATATTACTATTTAAAACCAAGCCTATATAATGTATGACCACATCAAATCACTTGAATTTCAAAACAAATTGAGCTAAAATTGTTTTGTGCTAAAATGTTTTCTCACAAATAAAACAATGTCTTTCTTTATTCAATCGGGAATATGAAGTGTCTGTTACTAAAATTGTTTCAGGAGTTGACATGCTGTTTAAACAATTGTAAAGGTAAACAACTTCTGAAGAACGTAAGATTATCATAATTGAATTTCAGGGAATCATTCTGGAATCACCAAAACTGCTGCTCCAGAGAAGTGCGGGTGCAAACAAAGGAAAGAATGTCTTCCTCTTGAAAAACTTGAGGCTTATACATTGCATGTGCAAATTGTACATTTATTTTGCAAGAAAATGTATTCCAGCATTTAAAGATCAGTTCCTATATTCCTTGAGGCAAGGCCACACTAAAAAACAGGCCGTAATGCTCGTCAAGCATGACGTCACGATAGAAGACGGCAATGACATAGGTATTTATTTATTTTCCAAGGAAAGATTAAAACAAGCAGCTGATCACAAACGGCAAACATTATGTCATTAAAATATTTGGTTTTACAATACCTTTATCAGTTCCAAAAGTAACCTTCGTCAACGTGTGTTACATGTTTCGGCGAGCTGCCATTGTCAAACACTTCAATACAGGAAGATGTAGATCCGCTTGAATAGCTTCGTTCTCACAACACATTACACGACATACAACATTTACACACGACACGTACAACATAAAAATAAAAATAAATACTTATAGTTTGATAGGCCTATCATGAATATGCAACATTGCCGGTACACGAGCGGGAACAGACAATGACAATGGCAGCTCGCCGAAACATGTAACACACGTTGACGAAGGTTACTTTTGGAACTGATAAAGGTATTGTAAAACCATATATTTTATATATTACAGTTCCGGGGCTACAACAATGAATTTTAATTATGTCATTGCCGTCTTCTATCGCGACGTCATGCTTGACGAGCATTACGGCCTATTTTTTGTAGTGTGGCCTTGCTTGAGCGGTGTTAGGAGAGAATCCATTATGTATAATCTTATTCTTTCTGAATAAATAGTTCTACCTTTCCTCCAAATCAACTCAACTTATTAGTCATATACATAAAGTATTCATCTTTTTACGATTATGAATGGAGTCTTTGAAATTTGTAAAATCACTGAAAATAGTTTTAATAATATTTTTTTTTACATTTAAAGCACAATACAAATAATACAAGTTTTAACAGCCATATTTACATTTTTCTTCCTTATTATAAATTTTGAGTTTGTTTAAACATGTTAGTTTACTTTCTTTTTTCAACTTGAAGTAAATATTATTCAACCAAACTCCTTTATCTGTTACACGAAACAGTTTTAAAAGTCGGTTAAAGTTTTGAAAATGGTTTTTTTTAAACTAAGTTCAGTTGTTGGTCTAACAAGCCTTTCCAGAGCTGCATCTGTGGAGTTCTCATGTGGAATGTTGAGTGGCTAACATGTACAGGCACAGTTCTCTCTGTGGCAAATCAAGCATCGAGATACTCCAGGAGCGACTAGAGGAGCTGGGGATGGACGATACACAGAGGAAGAGGATGGAGTTCTTCCTCTGTCAGAAGGAGAAGATCGGAGAGTTGACGGACGACGACCTGGAGAAGCTGGGGGAGTTGGGTGCCGGCAACGGAGGAGTAGTGATGAAAGTGCGGCACATACCTAGCGGACTCATAATGGCTAGGAAAGTGAGTAGACTCTCATTGTAACAGTTAGTGCCACATTTCTGAAAGAGCTGAACATGTAGATGGCAATGCGGGAAATGGAAAAAGTATTCACTCTTTAACTTCTTTCTATTAACATCTGATGTTTTGGCTTTTCCTAGTTTAGGCAAGGGTCCGGGTTTACAGGTTTTGAATGAGAGCAGTCTGTTATGAGTTTTGTTTGGAAAGGGATAGAGTTTGTACAGTTCAACTAGAGTCCAGAGGCTTAAAAGCAACCAAGATACTTAAGAAAACACAAAATATTAATTTCATCTTAGTGTAGGATTTCTACAGAGTGATTCCCTGTCACTCTACAAAAATGTGGAGAGACAATTTGAGAGCCAAGTAGTGAATAATATATATTAAGATTTTGTTTTGAACATATTTATAAAGGCAAGTTGTAGATTGAGAGTAGTCTACTGTATAGTGGAGTGCCTAAACATAAAACCCGCACAATTGTCGATAACCATAGCTGCTATCTTAAGATTAGGAACATACAGATAAAACTTAACTCTAGAAAATGTGAAGTATTTTCTGCATCAGAATATTTCTGTATCAGAATATATCGTACATAATAATGAAATTAAAGTATTTATTGTTGTATGACAATTACATGCATTACAATTTTAAGTTAATCAAATATAACATAAGTGTATGAATGAAATTTACAATGTATGCTGCAGTGTATCAACATCGAAATCCATGATCTTTGGAGACAGATACGATATTTATTTTTTATGATAGCCAACTAGTTTGTTATAGCCTCACCTTGTTCTGTTGCTGTAGTTAATTCATCTGGAGGTAAAGCCAGCAATCAAAAAACAGATCATCCGAGAGCTGAAAGTGCTTCACGAGTGCAATTTCGCTCACATAGTAGGATTTTATGGAGCATTTTACAGGTATTTAGGCCTATCACTTTATAAATCTTGTTATGAATTTCGGTATAGCAAGCCTATATCATGTAAATTTACAATCTACATCTTGAAAACAATAGCTCAGCTGAAAAATAATTTGATAGAATAAGCCATCATTGATGAGAAATATCAAACAAATTATTTGTAGTACTGAATTTACTAACAAAACTCCGATGATGTACGTTATAAGAAATATTTTATTCATTGAATGATCAACCATATTTTGTAACTAAAGCAATAGGCATTGTTTTTACACTTATTTATTACTCATTAAACAATGCTATATGCTAAAAATTGTTATTATTTCACTCTATTCATCACAGTTAGGTGAATCAACTTAAGCCTTTAAAGCAACCGTCAATTTCAACGGATTTCACCTATAGGTTATAATATCGGTAGGATAATTTGTACATGTACGATGTTACGCTATGTACTAGGAGTGGGCATTATTGGACTGGCTCTGCACCACTGTTTGTAGGCGATCACTGACGCTACAAATACTGATGAATTCTGAAGTAGTCGTATGATTATAGAGTTTTGAATTTAAACTCTTTTAATTCAATTTTGTACGTGATTGCCCTTTGGGAGCTTAACCAGGAAAGAAGCAGCACCACCTTAGAATATCTGTTTTGTATTGGTTCTATGAGGATGGGAATTGTATTTTCGATTCTCTAAAAATGTTAATCGATTTAGTAAGAAATAACCAACTAGCTTGCAACTGGTGATGCCCACACTAAACATTGTTAGTGGTGGGTAATATTTGTGTAATCTTGAGATATTGTAGATTTTGTAACAACATAAATACAATTTTACTTCCAGTTTTTAAACCGTTTACCACACCCATAACACTGTTGTAGTGATGGAGAAATCAGTATCTGTATGGAATACATGGACGGAGGTTCACTAGATCTAATATTGAAGAAAGCTGGACGAATTCCTGAGAATATTTTGGGGACTATTACATCGGCGGTAAGTAATTTGTTAAGATAATTTATAGCATGTAATTTTGTAGTAAGGACAAAATGTTTGGAGAATCCCTTTTCTCAATTGTAATAAAAGAGATTATTAGCCTTCTTTTTACTACCCACCAGACCAAATGTGGACGTTTTGTGATTTTTTTGTATGTGAAGTGGTTGCCCAATGCTCAAAATTGTCCAACAAGTACTATTGACGTATATTATTACAATGCAGACAGGGTGTTTAATAATATTTATAATTTACAATTTGTAAACAAATGATATTTCTCCCTTTAGGTGTTGAAAGGCCTCAGCTACTTGAGGGACAAGCATGCGATCATGCACAGAGATGTCAAACCTAGCAACATTCTGGTCAACAGCGCTGGCGAGATTAAAATTTGTGATTTTGGTGTTTCGGGTCAACTTATCGACTCGATGGCCAACAGTTTTGTAGGAACACGGTCGTACATGTCGGTAAGTTGGTTCAACGTTGAGTATTGAACTATGATCTAACCTTAGGAATGAATCTTATGTAGCTGTATTCGTTATTTTAACTAAAATTTTAAAATGTTGAATATAATATTAAGTGTTATTACCATTATACTTCAATACAGTGATGCACATCTAGATGTGTATTTTAAGCTGAATATGAATACAAGGTTAGTTTAAAATGGAGTGAGATGATCTGTGTAGCTTTGTTACTGACTAGAACAGTGTTTTTTCAGCCATTATGTATTTTTTAGCCCAATGATCAAGGACACCTGGGTCCAGTTTCGAACCATCAAAAAGCTACTTACTTTTCTCATGATTTAACCAGCAACCTTTTGATTTTTAGGCGATAACTATATAACACCTCAGCTACATAGCCAATAAATACAATTATTACCCTTGATATCTATTGTCCTCTGCAAAGCCAATGCTTTTTGCCATAGTGAATGAAAATTCTGGTTACATTAAATGGATTTTGCTATCCAAAACAAAATACAACTCACAATCAAACTTTCTTAACGCTAGTTTTTAAATAAGTTTTGTATTGCTCAGCCCAGGTTTGAGTGGTTTTCAATAAGATTTTTTCAATATCTATGTTCTGATTTTGAATAAATGTTATTAAATGGTGTTATAGAACGATTGTTTTGTGTTCACAGCCAGAGAGACTACAAGGCACACACTACTCAGTACAGAGTGACATCTGGTCTCTAGGACTGTCTCTGGTAGAGATGGCCATTGGCATGTATCCCATTCCTCCTCCGGACGCCAAGACTCTGGCGGCCATCTTTGGACCTAACAGCAACAGAGAGGGTGACCCTTCGTCACAAGGTAAGGCTGTTATTGCTATCATTCAACTATTTTTGGAGATTGTTATGAACTTTGTTGTGCTTTAGTCATTGTACCAATTACTATAGTTATAGAAATCATTGTGCTCTGATGAATACAACAGTTTGATGATAAAACAGTGTTGAAACACATCGTCATTGTCTCCCCCGGTCACGGCATAAGTCTGAGTACCCCTGCGGTAACAGAAACATTATAATTTTCTTCCCCAATTGCTAAAAGATTCTGTGTAGACATCATCATAACCTCCAGTCATTGCATCAGAATTGAGAATAGACACATCCTTTGTGAAAATGTTGAAATATATTTTAAATTGAAATTTAAAGTTACTGAAGTTGCTATCCTTAACCTTTTAGCATACATTTATTTGCTTGAAGATTAATGTAGCCTAAATTTTTTTTTAGAAATAAAAACCTATTGAAATAGTTCAACATAAGGTGTAACATTTATTGACCTCAATTTCCTTGGCAATAGGGGTGTGCGAAGCAGGAAAAAATGTTCAATTCAAAGCAATGATTCAATTAAAAAATTTTCCATTTGAATCGATGCAACTTGATTCAAAGCAATGAATTTTTTTTTCCGTACTTGTCATTGGAGTGAAATAACAATAGGCTAATTAAAATTTACCACATTTGTGTAATGCAAATTTTTGTTGATGTGGTATTAGGCCTATTCATACATATGACATATATGAATCTTAGGTGAACAAATATTTATTTTCAATCATATTGGAAGAACATGTATTGCTGGAAATGTCATTGAGCTGCTTTACTTGCCTATTTCATAATTTTTACTTGCAGAATCATATTATTAAGCATGTTACCTATTTCTATAATATTGATTTTACAAATAAAGATATGTTTTGGTGTAAAAAAAACATTTGCAAGATTTATACTGAAACTTTCAATAATTAGTTTACATTGATAAATAAAATGAGAGGATAGAATCAGACCTACAAACCACAAGGTATACATAGCAGACCTACAAAAATACCAAATTTATCAGTCTAAGACATTAAACATACTAGTTAAGTATCAAGTAACAATTTTTCAGACTTGTATTCTCACACTGCTTACACTTAAGAAAACTTCTCATCATTTGCAATGTCAAAACAAAAAAATTATAAAACAATTAAAGCAATATTTACAAGCAAAGAATTAACTAAATAAGAACGCCTTCGCAAAGGAAACGCAACAACAACACGCTCCTGTATTGCAGGTATTGCATTGACTTTCTGCAGGCGTTTTTCGTATATGAATCGAATCGTTTTTGATCACCACTGAATAAAATCGTGACTCAATGCATTGAATCAAATTTAATCTGAATTTTTGATGTATCAACACCCCTACTTGGCAATAAACTATCTCTTAAAATAGTTAAACCAGAAAAATTACTTACAGACTGTACATGGATGACAGTAAAATCACAATACATTCTGTTAATGCAGCTCTAGTATTGGTGGAAATGTGCAATTGTGATTGTATTGATTAGTGATCGACGGTTGGCAGCCCTGCGCTGGGAGAGAGAACTCGTGGTTCATGTCGTGTGCTATTTAATTAGTGATTAACTGTATTTATTGAACCATTTCGCAGTATTTTCATGGAGGTTTAAGTTATATTTCAATATCTGATTAACTGGAAACTGGTTTCATAGTCGTTTGTGCGTGGTATCAGCAGTAATTGGTGATAACCCGACCGGTGCGGTTCGTGTACGACCAACGTGGTTTGCCTCGCCAGTCTCATCAGGACGGTAACGGACGTGAGTGATTATCGAGTTACTTATATTACATCATAGTGCCTTTAGTGAATAGATGACCGAAAAAACTATCAAGCAATTTTTTACCCCTCAAAGTGACAGGAAGCGTCAAAGATCGTATTCGTCACCCGAGACTGCGGCGGTTTGTGCGATGCCTGTGTCAAGTGAAAAGGTAGGCGACTGGACTCGCGCCGAACTCATGGACGGCTTAGGCCAACTATTAGACAGTAAGTTGACTGTGTTTGAAGCGAAATTAGAGTCTAAACTAGCTACTAAGGAGGACTTTTCAGATCTTTGTGCTAGAATTAATGTGCTTGAGGAAAGTAATAACAAACTTAAAGAAGAGGTTAGTAAACTGCGAGCACAGGAAAAAGCAACTGCGATGAAATTAGTGGATTTAGAAGCCCGGTCTAGGCGTAATAATTTAATTTTTAAAGGACTTAAGGGTGTAGCCCAAACTAAGGACTACAAACATTTAGTGAAACAGTTCTGCATGGACGTGTTAGGTAGTGGCGACAACATATGGATAAATCGAGCACACCCTCTGGGCAAAGACAAAAACGCAATAATCGCGCATATCCCCGACGATGCGGGCATAGACTATATAATGAGCCGGTTATATTACCTTAAAGGTACAGGATGTGTGATCCATAGGGACTACCCGCGGGAGGTGAGAGAGAAGCGATCGCATCTTGTGGCAGTGCGTAAAGAGGTAGAGCGGTTGTGTGGATGGCGCCGTATGCCGTTAGTTTTTGACCATCTCACAATAGGAAAGACGAGGTTTACGTGGGAAGAAGGCAGATTAAGAGCTGGTCAAGATGACGGTGGTCAGGTTCTTTCTACTATGCTAAAACGAGACTTTAGTGAATTCCTGGATGAACTCAAACAGAAAGGACCGCCAGGACCGGGCGGAGACCGACCGCCGACACCCCAGGCTGCAGCTTCGGATCCAGGGTCGTACGCAGAGGCAGCGGCGAGGGGAGTCCAGAGGACGGAGAACGACTCCATCAACAACGAGGACGTCCACAACGGCTAGGAGATCACCGCCAATCCCCGGACACGACAACATGGAGAGGACCGGATAAACAGCATGAGTATAGAACTGAAAATTTTAGTTTATAATGTTTGCGGCCTAAAGGACAAGATTAGTGATGGCCATTTTGTTAGTTTACTTAATAATTATGATATTGTAATTTTACTAGAAACATTTATTTTAGAAAAGGATAAAGATTTAATTGTAAATAGCTTTGCAGGATTTATTGTACATTTTAATTTTGCAGTAAGGTCGTCCCATTTTGGAAGAGGCAGTGGGGGGTCGCTCTGTTTAGTTAATTTAAAATCTAAGCTACTAAGTAAAATTGAAGTGTTGGAAATCGAAAACTATAAGATTTTTAAGATTAAAGATAGTAACAGTATTGAGGATGGTTGTATCAGGCTTCTCCCAGTTTATCTAAATTTTGGGAACTGGGATAGTGAATTTGAGAAACTCACAACTTTTTTGTACAATAATGATTTTAAAAACTTAATATTGTTAGGGGATTTAAACGGGAGAATTGGAAGAGAACAAAGCCTGCCAAATGAAGTAATCCCGGAGGCAATAAAGAATGTTAATTTTGAGAGGTATTCAAAGGACTTAATAACAAATCAGAAAGGTCGTAAAGTACTAGAATTAATGGATAATTTGGGTCTAATAGTATTAAATGGGAGGACTTACGGAGATAAAAATGGGGAGTTTACTTTCGTGGGTCATATGGGAAGCTCTGTCATAGATTTGGTGGGAGTGTCAATCAATTGTTTGCATGCTGTCAAAGATTTAAATGTGTTAAGTTTTGTAGGATCTGACCACCTTCCTGTTGACCTTAGTTTAGAGATAACAGCTCCTAGAGCCGAGGATGAGATTGAGGACAGGGAGGAGAGTAATAAGATATTTTTGCTTCCTAGATTAAAGTGGGTAGATAATGATAAGGAGAGGTATTGTAAAGTAATTGGCGAGAAACTATTAAGTGTGCAATTAGGAGACGACGCACAAAGGAATGTCGATTCAATTATAGGCTGCATCACTGAATCAGCGCGAACTAAACAAGTTGTACCCAAGAACAAATGTCTTATCAGTAAAAAGGCTTGGTTCGATAAGGAGTGTCAGTCAGCTCGTAGGCGCTCATTCAAACTCTTGAATAAGTTTCGGAAAACTAATTTAGATTTAGATAAAGTAAAATACTTGGAGGTGATCAAATTATTTAAAGCACTTTGTAAAAAAAAGAAAAAATCTTACTACAATCAAATTATAGATAATGTGTCTCAAGTAACGAACAGTAAGCAGTTTTGGAGTGCAATAAATTCTTTCAAATGTAAAATTCCAAACCAAATTGGTAAAATTGCGACACAGGATTGGACGAAGCATTTTAAGAGTTTATTAAATCCACCCTTGTTAGTATCTACTGTTTCGTATGCACAGCCAGTAGTTTGTGACGAATACCTCGATGCAAATATTTCACTAGATGAATTAAAAGCTGTGTTGTTAAGGGTAAAAAATGGCAAAGCACCTGGCATTGACAGGGTGCCATATGAGTTTTTTAAAAACGCACCGGATGCATTACTTAATAGTCTTATTTATATTTATAATAGTATTTTTGAGAGTGGCAATGTCCCACAAACTTTCAAGGAGTCTATTATTTTTCCTTTACATAAAAAAGGCAACATTAATGACGTCAAAAATTATAGAGGGTTGTCCTTTATCAACTGTGTAGCTAAGATTTTTATAAACATTTTAGATTCAAGGTTAAGTAATTGGGCTAGTGATAGGCAGTTAATAAGTGAGTTTCAGGCGGGATTTAGGAGAGGTTATTCAACCATCGACAATATCTTTAACCTAAATGCGATTGTGCGCCTAAGGCTGGCAAGGACCGGAGGTAAGCTATATGCTTTCTTTGTTGACTTCTCGGCAGCATTCGATACTATTGATAGGAAGTCGCTACTGTTTAAGTTATCCTGTATAGGTGTTTCAACAAAATTTTTAAATATTTTTAAGAACTATTATGATGGTACTAGAGCGGGTGTGTGGTGTGGAGACAGTGTGACAGCAAATTTTGAAACTTCGACAGGTCTTAGGCAAGGATGTTCTGCGAGTCCTTTAATGTTCACTTTATTTATTAATGATCTGCCTGAGGCACTTGGTGGCGGCTGTAATTTTGGAGGGACTAGGATAAACATTCTTTTATATGCAGACGACGTCGTGTTGTTAGCGCCTACGTCCACCTGCTTACAACTTATGATAAGAAATTTAGAAACTTACTGTGAAACATGGAATTTGAGAGTTAATCTTGAAAAATCAAAAATAATTGTTTTCAGAAATGGGGGTAGATTGGCCTCGTCAGATAAATGGTGGTTCAATGGGAAACGTGTAGAAGTAGTAAACAGCTATAAATACCTCGGAGTGTTATTCACAGCGACGTTATCTTGGCAATCACATTTTAAAGATAAAGCGAGGCAAGCAAAATTAGCAATTAACTCGGTGTGGAATAACTTAATCAATAATAAATCTGTGCCTTTATCATCTAAAATTATGTGTTTTAATTCCGTCATAAAATCAATTGTTAGTTATGGGGCTCAGGTATGGGGTTGCTTCGAATCTGAATTCCTAGAATCCGTTCAAAAATTGTTTTTAAAGAGACTCTTCCGATTGCCTTATAACACGCCAAACTATGTGATTTATTTAGAAAGTGGATTTAAAAAATTGTTTTTTTATAATATGATTACGAATTTAAATTACCTATTAAAAGTACTACATTTCCCCGATAATAGACTTCCTTTGATTCTAGCCAAACAAATTATAAACCATAACTTAGATTGGTGCAGACAGTGGAAGATGCTAGGTGAGAAGGTAGGGGTTGATGTAGATTTTGGATCAGAGGCGGTAAAATCGAGATGTCTGACGGTGGTGGAAAAGCTGAGTGACGTATGGATAGGAGAGTGTATAGGGCGCGCACGCACGTCCATTCACCACAGTCAGCTGATCAGCCTCGACCTTGGCCTTGAACTTGGCGATAGAAGCTACCTTACTGATAACGCCGATGTCAGCTTCGTTTCCTGGATAATTAAGGCTAGGGCAGAGCTGCTCTATTTGAATGGTAAACCTTGGTCAACGGGAAATAAGTTCTGTTCTCTTTGTAATATGGGTGAAATTGAAACCACATTTCATTTCATCGCTATTTGTCCAATTTTAAGTAATCTTAGATTAACATTTTTACACAATAGAGTCCTTTCTGAACGGGATTATATTAGTTTTTTAAATGGCAGGGATTGGCGAGCGTTAGTAAATTATTTAAAAAACGCCTGGCAATACAGGTGGATTTTAATACAAGAATTTAACAATTGAGGAAAAAATATCATAAAAAATTTAAATATAGTACTCTTCCAAACTTCTAAAAAAAAAAAAAAAAAAAAAAAACCGATATAACTAGAGAAACTGGTTGGATTGTATTATATTTCTTAACTTTAAAATAATGGCCATAATTGTTAGTTTAAGGAAAGATTTATAATTTTATTTTAAGAAATCCAATAATTGTTTTGATTTAGTTTTAGACGTGCCAACCCGGCAGACGACCGAAAGGTCATTGCTGTAGCGCGTAGGCACGTCCCCTGCGTGGGACGAATTATTGTGCACTGGGTATTTTGGAAATAAAGCGCTTTTTCTTTCTTTCTTTCTTTCTTTCTTTCTAGTGATCGACATACCATGTATTCACACAGCAAAGCTGCAGTGTTACGCTTCACTGGAAACTCAGCCTGTAGAAGTAAGGATGACAAAATCAAATAATTTATTGAACTAGGAACTGTTTAATTTTGTTAGTGTCAGAATGTCTTAGTCTATGTAATTTGTTTCAGCAAATGGAAACGGGCCCCGCCCCATGGCCATTTTTGAGTTGTTGGACTACATTGTCAATGAACCTCCTCCCAAGCTGCCTTCAGGGATTTTCTCTGACGAGTTCAAAGACTTTGTAGATCGGTGTTTGAAGAAAAACCCTGCGGAGCGGGCAGATCTTAAAACCTTAATGGTAAGTTTTTTTAGTATAGATTTTGCTAGGTTTATGTCTAATTAGTGATAGGGGGATTTACAGCAGAGCAAATAAAAAAAAAACAAGGATTTACAGGGTGTCTGGAGACCGGGAAACCCGTAAAAAGCGAAGATTATTATGACGCCTGGCACTAGAGGTTAACTGTAAGAAAGGACCATGAGGACCTAAGTTCGCCTCAATAAAGAAGGATTTTCATTTCATTTCATTTCACTATGCAAGAATTTTACAGAAATTCTGTAATTATGGCAGTAATGTGCGAGAATTTTTCTGCGATAGATTTTTTTATTTGAAATGTTCAACATTTATTGAGGGTTAAACAGAGTGTAAAATTTTTCTCCAACAGGAAAAATTTATTAGGGTAAAAAGCTCTAAATCAGCATCTTACGAAGACGACAGGCTACGAAAGCCATTTTATCGAAGCTGTCCAGCCCAGGACTAGGATTCAGGCTACTACGTCAGAGCTCGGTTTCTGAACGACGACGACGCAACGGGTGAATACAACAAATCTAAACTCTATGTCTAGTAACATCTGTGGTCTAATGTCTCGGCTGTCTGCTACGCTCATCTAGATTGACAAATAACTCAGACAAGCAATTTTATTTTTAAGTTCTTATTGTTTAGGGATGTTCAATACTTCTGGGATTTAGAGGTAATTTTAAATATATTATATGTTAATAACCAAAACAATAATGTGTGATTTGTATTTTATTTTGTCAATGTATCTAAACTTATTTGGAAGTTGGAAGTGACAAAACGTCAAAGCGATTTAAACATACTATTTACATAATTTCACAGTTTCATCCGTTGATAAAAGATGTTGTGTCTATTCTTAATTAAAATCAATTTTGTATGTCTAGTGTATGAATGTAATGTAATAATTGTTCATTAATTCTACACTCTATGAAGTATTTTGAGGCTTTTTGCCGGTGGTGTGATAACGTACAGAAGGCCTAATATCGCTTGAACTGCAGCGTTTGTCCAGACTGTGTGCGTTCAATATATACCGTATGTCCAATATGAGAAGGGTGAATATCGTGTGTCACTTAAAGCACTACACTCTCCTTTGGCGTAATAGAACAGAAGGTCGAGAATCGCTCGACAAGATAGTGAAAGAGAGTGAGAGTAGGTTTTGTTTTCTGATTAGGACGTCATTAAGGCCTAACTGTTGTACAATTGTACAAAACACAAAATGTTGGTTATTTTTTTCAGTGAAAATGACAAGAATTTCAAATATCCTACTTTCTTAGTGTAGACCATATTTAATCATTGTGATTTTAATAAATAAATAAATTTGTGACGTCCATCAAAATGGTGCAACAAATCACCAGCTCACCCCTAACCCATAATTCTGTGCAAATCTCCCTACTCCCAAGTGCTTTGTAATATTATTGATGATTCATTCAATTCCAATAACCAATCTAACATGCCTAAATACCTTTTTACCCTTGCCACTGGCCCTTGAAAATTCTTTAACCTTCATGTACAAACAGTGTTGTTTATGTCATTAAAATGGTATTTTACTGATTTCTCATATCTTACAAGAATTTTTCTCGTACTGAACAGGTTATAATGATAAACAAAATGTTTAAATTGTTATAACTAACTTAACTATCCATTAAGGCTGGCAAAAAGGTGGTATTGCTTAACAGCTTTACAGTGTAATTTTCTGTGGAATATGTTATTACATCAACGAGGAAATTGCATGTTGTTAATATGTAATTCAAATACCAGCATTGATTAAATTAAAGTTTACCGCGTCATGATCTGTTGAGGGTGTGCACCCTTTTTGTTTGTATTGCATATCAAATAAAATATTCAATTTGATTAACTTTTGCTAAATTTACCCTAAAAAAATGCCTCGGGAATAGTGGAAGGAAATTTGCGTGAATTTGGCCGAGCCCATTTGCTGGACACCCTCATTTAAATCGCATTAAAATAAAAGGCGTTTTAAAATGAATGAGGCTCCTCATAAATTTAATGCTCTTATTAATCTTGGATTGGTTTCAATAAAGCACCCAGGTGTTAATTGAGCTATCGCTTTGTAGTCAAATGTAAACCCCTAAAAAGCTTGATCTTGGTTTCTAAAAATTAGCTACAATAGATAGATAAAATAACTTGTTCCTTGAATGGGAAATTCACTGAAAGAGATTATTGTTTGTTTTGGCAATCAAAATTTAGTTTTATGAATGTTAAATTGAGTTGAGAGCAGTTCAATGACCATTTTCACCTCCCGCCTTTAAACTTGCCCCTGCTTTTACCATATACACATTTATTTACTGCCTCTCTTTAATAGGTTACAGTATAATGTTTTGTTAGAACATGTTGTAATTGTCACAGTGTCTCACAGGTTTACTCTTGTTTGTACAGAACCACGAATGGATAAGACGAGCTGAAAGTGATGACAACGACATTGCTGGTTGGGTGTGCAAAACAATGGGTTTGACTCCTACCACTCCCACGCGTACCAACCCTCCTTCTTGAATCACTACAGCTTAGACTTCTCAGTTGGACCCCAACCTGGCATTATAAACCTAAATATTTCATTTTGAAAACTTACTAGAGTAATTCAACGGACAAGTCATTAATAATTTCTTCTAATCTTAGATCACTTGATGTGACGTTTTGTTAATGAGTAAACATGTTCCAAAATATAATTCTGCAAAGGAAAACATGTTGAAAAATGTTCAAACCTCTAAGTGATAGAATGAATATTGTGTCACAAATGAAGAATACCTAAAAGTGTACTGAAGCATAAATCTATTTTTGATTGCCCTTTAAAACCTGTTAGTAGGCTATTCTGTTTCATACACTAGCCATAAAGATATATTTGATATACAGACTCTTATAAAGTAAAATTATATTGGAAAGTAAGGTAAAATATAAAAAAGTTTTATTATTGTGCCTTCAAAAGAGTTATAATTTGATCTCTTAAAAACATCTACATAAAAAAGACTGGCTGCCAGTAGAGGGATGCTTTTAAAACTACTTGAATGTTTTAAGCTATATGACATCTTTGATGAACAAAGACATACAACATCAAGCTAAGAAAATACCCAATTAGTTTTAAAACTACATCTACACAATAAATTTATGAGTAACCGGTGAATTAGTTGAGATTAAGACTTTGCAAGTGATATTTTAGTTGTATTATTTTTTTATTGTGTAGGCAATGTATACTAATAGAGCCTGAGCCAAAAAGTCTTAGTTTTTTTTCTTAGTGAAAGTTTCAGATCTTAGTATGGGAATAAAAATTCAATGTGGAAACCGATTTGAATACCCACTTATTTAAAATAATACTTCTTACAGTAAGTCATGCTTCATCCTGTCAATCTTTTTTGTATGCCTCAACACCAGGGACAAATTTTTAACTCTCGGATAAGGATTGCTTATAATCCAATCGTTCTAAACATTTGTTTCATGGTTTTCCTACTCAAGCGTATTTTACTATTAATAGAAACTGTTAGTTGAGATGGCAAATAGCAACCTAGTTAAGAATTATTTAAGTCTGTGATGTTGATATTTTCTTAGAATTGCTTTTAGTTTTCTGACCTGAGAGAGTTGTATCAAAGGAACTCATTCAACTGGGTATTTACATGTATTTATTATCTATGTTCATCTGTTTATTCCGTCTAAGGACATAATAATTGTAAGATTAATGTTTTGTACACGTAAATAATATCAAAGTTCATTCTACATGTATTTAATAGTTGTTTCACAGTATTTGTGTACATGTTATTGCTTTGTGTACATTTAGTTCTTTTTATATATTATTCTATACATATGTACATTTTAGTAAGTATTTTTGTCTTTTTTTATGGCTGTCTACCATAAAAATGGCTGTTTTATGGCTGTCTTTAATTGTTGTTCTTTATTAGTCTTCCTGTTTTATAATATCAAAAGATAGTTTAAAATCTTTTTTTTAAATATCATTAAAGCAAATTTTTAAATCTTTTTTTTAATACTGTATCATTAAAGCAAAACTTTGTCGCCCTGCCTGATATTAGTTGTTTGTTTCTGTACAAAAATTATTTATTGTCATTGGTAATAAACTGTAATTCTTATAAACAGACTGAAAGTTATTCACTCCTATTTTAATTCAGTGATCATTTTGGGAAATGTGAGTGCTAATCCTATTCCCTACTCTAGTAATTGCTTTTTAATTCATCAGTATGGTATTGTTTCTAAGGGTGAAATGCAGAGAGAAAACTAGTACCCCACCTATGTGGCTTAGAAACAATGATATCATGAGAGGGTGTCTCAAATATTTCATTGAACAGTATTAACAGTAGGGAGTGTTGCTAACAATTTAACAGAACTGGTTCATTCTTTTCTTTGCTTGACACAATTTACGAAGACACTGTGATAGTAGGTAAATATAATACCAGATACCCCTGCCGCAGCAAACCAACATAATATAATAAGCAAATTTCCATTGTTTGATTGTATTTTAACAATGAAAACTTTTCGTTAAACATGTGCGATTTATTCCCTAATTAAATAACATTAAATGAAACGACTACTACAGGAAATGAAATAGAGTCCTGGGTTTAGGTCTTACTGACCGTGTTATCCTATAGAGTTCACTATTATAGAAATTCACTAAAAGGCCATCCTTGTTAGGCCATCCTAAAAGGCTATCAGACACTCTGCGGTACCCGAAACATAGATTGTCTCTTTCGGAAAAGGGTCCATATTACATGGCAATTAAACTGTTTAATCACCTTCCACCAGAGATAAAAAAAGAAAAAAACGAACACATAAAAAAAAAAAAAACTGGAAACTCATCTAGCTGCAACATGTTTTTAAAGTGGACGATTTTTTTTTATGAGCACATCTGTCTTGAGCCAGGGGTTATACTGTAAATATTTTAAGTTGTTAATTATCAAACTACTTGTACCCTAAGAGTAAGAACGATTGTTTCGTTGAAAAGAAACTATATAATCTTTTGAATGGAACACATTATCCTACCTCATTTATCTTGTAAACCTTGAAAAGAGTGTAAAATCAATATCGAATTGTTTACCAATGATTTTATCACACTAGCTCGGTTACTGGGTACATTCTTTTAGTTCTAGTATTACAATCACCTAGAGATAAGGCAGTAGCTATTGACACTAGAACAGGAAGCAATATTCTCGGAGTGGCAGTTCAGTATGCCATTGAAAGGTTTTAATTGTGTGAACAACATGTAAAAGTGGCTCATGGAAAGATTTTGTCAAGGAATTTTTATTTACGAGATACATGTATGTATTTACCTATTTCATTGCCAAATATTATGTTTTGTTAAAAACAACACATTTTTGAGTTCATATTAAATTAACATTACTGTACGTGTGGAATTGATTTAAACCAATTCAAAGTATAGACTCAATTACACAAGGGGAGTTTACTAGCTATTTGCCTATTAATTACACATTGTTTGTAAACTAGCCCAGTCAAATCGCCAATCTCTTTGATTATGACTACAACTCTGCAGAAAATTGACTCATCCCGCAGCCGGCAACTTTACACACTATAGTTAGGCCGCTTAGAAAACGACCTCCTTTAGCATTAAGTTACCATCGCAGGTCGCTTTTTAAGCGGCCGAACTATAGCCACCAAATTCAAGCAAACTGGATTGTAAAACTATCCAAGTGTATTAGCTTGTGGACAAGCGATAACTAGGATTTAGTAGATGACGTTTAAAACTAGCTAATAGCGGAAATAGCCTGCTTTTTTACTCACTAGCTGTTAGTGAGTTAGCTTGATCCATTTGCCTTAAAGATTATACAATCAAACCTTTCTAGCTCATTTAACGATTGCATCATGCATATAAATTACAGAAGAATTTCCACAGTCAGTGTCAGATGGAAATATTAGGTTTTACACCTTTTTTTCACAGTTACCTGACACAGCTTTCTTCTTGCACTGATCAAAGCAAAGTAGCTAATTACTGCATTTATTTCCTTTTGCCGCACTCCAGTATTCCAACCAAACTACACAAAACAGTGTGCTTTTATTAGGCACGTAATACGTATATGCTTGAAAATAGGCTGGCAACACTTAAAGATACTATGACTATGATCATCAGCTGGTGCAGAATTTCCCAGCCTTTGTCTATTGATACTTAACCTGTTGTCTTGTGTTAATCAACATTCTATTTTCATTCAACGTTTGGATTTTTAATCTAACCAAAATGTGTTTTTAAGTGTTTGAAAGACTAATTAATTATTTATATGCTTGATAGTAATTGTAGGACAAATATAATGTATACCTCGCTTGCAGCTCGTGAGTAAACATTTCTCTCATGTGCAGCAAAATGCCATTGCGCACTAGTTGCAGAAACAACTATTTAAGGACTGTGGTGATGTGAACATTATCACCTGATAATATTTATTATTTGATTTGTTTGTAAATATTGTATTTGTTCTTAACTAAAACATGGTTGTAATTTTGAATGAATAAAAGCCATACTTTTGGTTTACTAAGTCTTTCTTACAACAATTTTATTCATTCATTGATAAACTCAGTTAGTGCTACATTACAATGGAGAAATTCCTTAGACCAGACAAATTGCAAATTGACCCGGAATCTCCAACTGCCTCAGAGGAATGGACGCACTGGTTACAAACATTCGAAGACTTTCTAACCATGACAGAATTCGTTGAAGACAAGGACAAACTGAAACTACTAACTAATCGATTATCTTTTACTATTTATAAATTTATCAAGGAATCTGAAACTTACCAAGACGCTTTGAGAGTTCTTAACTCAATTTACATCAAACAAAAGAATGAAATATTCTCAAGATATTTAGTAATGACTAGAAAACAGCAACAAGGTGAGACTATTGACAAATATGTGTCGGAACTGAAACTTTTGAGCCAAGATTGCGTTTTTGAAGCTGTTAATGCGATTCAATACAGGGATCACTACATTTGTGATGCTTTTATCAATGGCTTAGCCTCGTCATACATACGACAGAGACTATTTGAAAATAAAACTTTAGACCTAGCTGAAGCAGTGGAACAGTCTAGAGCTCTTGAAATGGCTCAAGCTCAAGTCGAGAGCTATCCAAAATCTATGTACGGAATGCAAACTTGTGCAACGAATGAATTGGCAAAGCAAGCTTGTCAGTACGAATTCCCACTACAACAAAAGGAAGAAGCGACTGTTTCCGCTATTAAAAATGTTGATGGCAAGTGTTATTTTTGTGGGCATGATAGACACTCTAGAGATCGCTGTCCAGCCAGAGAAACAACTTGTGGGAAATGTAACAAGACAGGGCATTATGCGAGAGTCTGTAAAAGTAATCCAACTCAACATTTTAAAGTAAAACAGAAGACGTCTAGTACATCAGCTGCACTAATAGCAACTACACATAATACATCTGTATTGAAGGACTCTACAGTTGAAGCTAAAGTGAATGGCCTGAAAGCAAATTGCTTAATAGACACCGGGAGTACATCAAGCTTTGTAAACTTGAAGTTTGTTCAGTTAAACAAAATTAAAATGTATAATGAAAGTGGACAAGTATCACTAGCTGCTTCTAATATGAAATCAAACGTCCACGGGTTTGTTAAAATCAACCTAAATCTGTTGAATCACAATTACAACAATTTTAAGTTGACTGTTCTTGAAGATCTTTGTACTGACGTGCTTATCGGACATGATATCATGAAACTCCACTCAAATATACAGGTTTGGTTTGGAGGTAAGAAACCTCCTCTGTTGGTGTGCTCCTGTGCCAAAGTTGAACCACCCAAACTATTCTGCAATTTAACTCCAGATTGTAAGCCAATAGCCACAAAATCACGACGTTACTCAGATGAAGATATGCAATTTATAAAACAAGAAATGGAAAGACTACAGACTGAGGAGATCATTGAACCTAGTTCGTCACCTTGGCGTGCACAAGTGTTGGTTGTTACAAACGACAAAGGGAAGAAGCGACTGTGTGTGGACTATTCGCAAACGATAAACAAATTTACTCTGTTAGACGCCTATCCCTTACCAAACATAGATGATCTAGTATCCACTGTAGCGACGAACAAGGTTTTTAGTGCCATTGATCTAAAGCAAGCATACTATCAAATACCAATTTCTGACGAAGAGAAGGAGTACACTGCTTTTGAGGCTGCTGGTCGTCTTTTTCAATTCAGAAGAATCCCATTTGGCGTAACCAACGGGGTGGCATGTTTTCAAAAGACCATGGACCAAATCATTAGAAAAGAAAAACTGAATGGAGTGTATGCCTATCTGGATGATTTGACCGTATGTGGAAAGGATCAAAAGGATCATGATGAGAATCTAAGAACATTTTTAGATGCTGTAACTAAGTATGGACTTGTAATCAACAACGAAAAGAGCAAGTTCAACCAGTCTTCAATAACCTTGTTGGGACATTTAGTTTCCCATAACTCTATTCGACCTGATCCAGATCGGCTAGAATCTCTACTGTCACTTCCTGTGCCCAAAGACCAAGTTTCACTAAAGCGAGTCCTAGGATTTTTCGCTCATTATTCAAAATGGATACCTACATCGGTTTTCTGATAAAATAAGAAACCTGACACAAGTCAATTCTTTTCCTTTGTCACAGGAAGCGGTTGCAGATTTTGAAGCCCTCAAACTTGACATTGCAAACTCAGTAATTACTCCTAGGAATGGGCAAGAGCCACTGGTAGTGGAGACTGACGCATCTGACATAGCCGTGGCAGCAACTTTAAGTCAAGATAATCGGCCAATCGCTTTTTTCTCACGGACTCTAAACAAATCTGAGAAGCTGTATTCAGCTGTTGAAAAAGAAGCCGTTGCCATTGTCGAAGCCCTTCGAAAATGGAAATCATTTCTTATCGGAAGAGACTTCAGATTATACACGGATCAGCAAGCTTTATCATTTATCTTTGACAAGAGGCATACAAGCAAAATCAAGAACGATAAAGTTATGAGATGGCGACTAGAGCTAACACCTTATCAATATGAAATAGTGTACCGACCTGGTAGGGAGAATGTAAAAGCAGATACGCTCTCTCGGGCATGTGCGGTTCGCTGGGACAATGCTAAGTTGTTTGAATTACACAAATCTCTCTGCCATCCGGGAGTCACTCGAATGTTTCATTGGATTAAAACTAAAAATCTAAACTACACTCTGGATGATGTAAAAAGGATGACGTCAGCTTGTCAAACATGTGCAGAAGTGAAGCCAAGATTTCACCAATTCCAAGGCAAATTGATAAAGGCAACCACTCCCTTCGAACGTCTAAATATTGACTTTAAGGGCCCTCTTCCATCAACAACCAGAAACCGTTACCTTTTAACCATGGTGGACGAGTATTCTCGTTTTGTATTTGCTTACCCCTGTAAGGACATTAGTTCAGCAACAGTTATCAGATGTTTTTCAGATCTATTTTTTATGTTTGGAGCCCCGTCCTTTGTACATTCAGATAGAGGTTCATCTTTCATGTCGCGAGAGCTGACGGACTTTCTTCACAAGTACGGAGTAGCTACAAGTCATACGACACCTTATAACCCTAGAGGGAACTCTCAGATTGAACGCTTCAATGGAACAATATGGCGAACCATCCTACTAGCTTTGAAAAACCACAACCTGCCAGTTGCTGCATGGGAAGAAGTATTACAGGAGGCACTTCACTCAGTCAGATCTCTTTTATGCACTGCGACAAACTGCACACCGCACGAAAGATTCTTTATACATAGCAGAAGATCTACCAATGGAGACTCCTTACCATCTTGGCTATCCGCTCCTGGTCCTGTCCTGCTTAGAAAGTTTGTAAGATCTAATAAATATGATGACCTTGTGGAGCCAGTTCAACTTTTGGAATCAAATCCACAGTACGCTCTCGTCCGAAGAAGAGATGGGTCAGAATCACAAGTATCCCTGAGACATCTTGCACCCGCTGGCCTACCTCCTGGTGATCTACCTCATGAAGACAACACTACTGAGAGAGAGATTGTTGAAAATATAAATTCAGACATTGACCACAATGAAGTTCAAAATGAAACTCAACAAACAGTATCTCAGACCCCAACTTCAGAGACGGCTGTGGGGGAACTACGTCCAAAGAGAAATGTCAAGCCTCCGTCATATCTAAAGGATTACATATGCTATACATACCTTGAAAACTAGTGGGGGAGAATGTGGTGATGTGAACATTATCACCTGATAATATTTATTATTTGATTTGTTTGTAAATATTGTATTTGTTCTTAACTAAAACATGGTTGTAATTTTGAATGAATAAAAGCCATACTTTTGGTTTACTAAGTCTTTCTTACAACAAGGACTTCACATCAATTTGAATAATATTTTCCCACAACAGTTTTACAAACCAAATAGGTAATAAGTTTCATAAAGATGCAATCAATTAAGAGTTGTTTATACATCAATTATTACCATGTACTTGAAAACTAATCTAATCTAATGGAAATACCACCCAAGAAAAAACACTCTTTTAGTTTGATTTAGGTAGTTAATTGGTTTTCTTTCAAGAATGCTCTGGTTGGTGCTTCTGCTGCTCCCCGGATGTTGGGGTGGTACCCAAGACTCGCCTACTGCTGAGGTACCCCAGGGGACAATATTGGGGCGATGGTTCACCACACGGGGCGGTCGAGATGTCGAGGGTTACTTGGGCATTCCCTACGCAGCTCCACCCCTGGGCCCACTCCGGTTCAGGGTATGTGTTAGACACTCACTTTAGTACATCAGTATCGTCATACAACTTAGCAATGCAGTCCAACAATCAAAATGTAAGTGGTGTCAGTGAATTCCCAACATTAGCCCACTTTTTAGTCACTACTGCAACACCAATTCTGGCAAAAAATGTTCAATAACATTGAGAAATATATTTTTGGAATCCGTCGTCAATGACAAAATCAACACTTTTTTATTTATTTTTTTAAGAGGTTGGTGGCCCCTTTAAACCTTGCATTTGCCTGTTCCACATAGACCAACTGCCCCTGCATGGAATGTATCTAGCAAAGCGAGAGGTGAGCCGGTTCAGTACGAAGGTGCACTGTACTGATAAAATGTTTACAGCAGTGACCAATAGGATCCGAACCGATGACATCAAACTGCTTTGGGCCCAAAGTTCGTGACACTACCGATTGAGCCACCGACTCATCAACTTCCTTCTCAGTCAGCTGATTTTTTTTGCACCCAAATTATAATACCCTAGTCCTAGAATATGTATACAACCAATAACCATAGAACGTTATCCATTCCCATGATAATATTTTAGCTAAATTTAGAATAAAGGTTTAAGAAAAGATGAATGAAATAGAAATGGGTGGTTAAATAGTGTAATCAATGATGTATTGGGACAAGATGGATTTTAACGGACGTCCAACGGAAACAGATTCGTAGAATATAACGTATCTATATTATACTCTATATATGCAAACTTTGTACTAAAAATGACTTTTTTGTTACATATTGAGTAAATGCACTTTTAGTTATATGTACCATAATGATCTTATACAACATCACTGAGGGTAAAACCCCTGGGTGAGAGTTCTAACAATAATTAATTAATAAGCAAAGCAATTGCAATTCAATAAGACTAATTGTTGTGTCTTGTTGTTACAGCCCCCACAGCCTCCTCTACCATGGGAAGGTCAGCTGGATGCTACAGAAGACGGCCAAGAATGTCTGCAAGCCATGGTCCCCGTTGGAGCTGAAGACTGTCTTTATCTCAATGTTTACACACCACATGTTGGTATCTAATGCTATATAATGTACTTAAAAACATCAGGAGCTGTTGTTCAACCCATTGCAGTAGCCTAATTAATTACTTCTTTATACTAGTAAAAATCTCAATGAGAAGCTCATTCTGATATAAAGTTAAATTTTACCATCTCAAGGTAAAGGTACTGTACTTCGTACCATTATACCATTAAGTAAATAAATACAATAGGTAACGTCAAACTATTCTAAAATAAACAAACCAATGCATATAAATAATGAAATGTTCATCATTACAAACCATGCTGAAATAAAAAATGGTTAATTAATCTTCACAGCAAACCATGCAGTTATGGCAAACAAAAGAAAATGAAAATTGTGACACATACCTGAGTATAAAAATAAAATTACAAAACTAAAAACAATGGCCAGCCTTCAGAGCATCAAAAAATTCAATGGGTTCATAAAAAGGATTCGTTTCGAGCCAATTTTTTACATTTTTTGTAAATTTTGACTTCCGCAATGACCGTACACTTTCCGGGAGAGCATTGTAAAACTTTTTGCCTGTAACAGGAAAACAGTTATTAGTTTTACTTAATCTATTGCTACTTAAATGTACATTATTTCTATTTCTTGTAAAATATGAGTGGACATCCTTGTTACAAACCAGATCTTCTTCCATGTCCTTAATAGCTAACAAAGATTGATAAATATATACATTTACAACAGTCATAATACGAAGTTCAGCGAACAAATGCCTACAATGCTCCAGATAATGAACCTGACATATTACTCAGATAGCCTTTTTTTGATGGAGGTAGCGTCCCCTTTTTTACTAGTGCGGGTGGGCAGTGGTTGAGGGGCACAAGGCAGGCGCCCTTAAACCACCGGCACCCCTGGGCATATACCCAGTCTGTCCGTTTATAAAAGTGGGCCTGCCCATGGTGGAAGGATAAAACATAGGTGTGATACTCCCATCATAAGCTGACGTCATCCAGATTGCAAACGCCATTTCACTATTTTGAAAAATTATAATAACAAACAAATATATACCTATAGAATGGTAGGTAAAAAACAGGTAGAAAATCAGGTGATTTTCAGTTTGCCTGTTTGCTCCTTCCACCATGATAGAGACCATTTTTTTTGTCTTAGGACGCTAAGCACAAGCCCGGGATAGATTTCCACATTACTGCAGGCTAGACCTAGGGGTTGCGGCATTATCACTTAGATTAAATCCATTGGGGATTTGGCGGGATTTGAACCCAGGACTTCAGGGACCGAAGTCCCGGGCCTTAACACCAGCTCGCTCCCCGTGATAGAGACCATTGAAGTAATATTCCATTACTAGTCTGATGATGATATAACAACTCTCTCAATTATATCATCACAGATGGATCAGAAAACTAATAACAGTTATCTCCTGTATTTTAAATGTAATTAATTCACAGGCTACACCCAAACCGAAATACACAGTAATGGTGTTTATCTATGGTGGTGGCTTTGAGATTGGTTCTGCCTACAGTTACACATACGGACCCGACTATTTCTTAGATGAAGATATAGTTCTCGTCACTCTAAACTACAGAGTGGGAGTTTTAGGTGAGTCAAACATGTTTAAAGACAATAATAATAAGCGAACACCTTATTTGTTCATCAGAAGTACGAGTAAAATGTATATATGGTTTAAAATTGTATTGCATATTCTGAAATCATGTTAATGAACCTAAACTGAGTATTTTGATGCAGGATGAAAGCCAACATGTTTGTGAGCTAAGCTAGACCAAATTTGAGTTCAGCTCAGCAAGCAGTGTACAGTTCACAACAAAACTTAACAAAAAACTTTGGTGAAAATGGAGCTCCTTTAAAGAACAGGATGTCAATTTAAAATTTAATAATAAGCTTTGTCCCATCTAATTTGTTAGGTAAGGACGGACACTCCTATGAATTAGCATCCCAAGTATGGAGTATAGGGGTGGGACAGACTCTGTGTAAAGGTGTCACTCCATACCCGACAGTGGCCACCTTTGCCTCTGGGACAGGTTGAGACGCAGTTTGTTGTCAACAATCTGTTTCTTGTATACAATCTGTAGATGCTTTTCTTTCTTTCTCAACATGCAACACAAGTTGGGGTGTGCAGTTATGTCACCACTCTATACATCTTGTAATATTCCTGGGATACCACTGCAAGCCAACCTATATTGTTTTATAGGAAACCAGTTTGCTCCTCTTCCAGGGATGAAGCTACTGCAACCTTGCTCCAACTTAATCAATCAAGAGTTCCTAGGATCTCAGTAGTGTATTGTGGTAGTGTCTAATGATGTAGGCCTACAGTATGTTTTAGCCACTACCACAATACACTACTGAGATCCTAGGAACTCTTGATTGATTAAGTTGGAGCAAGGTTGCAGTAGCTTCATCCCTGGAAGAGAAGCAAACTGGTTTCCTATAGGTTTTGTTGCCTTAGTATACTACCTCAAATTCCTGTTTCGAGATGAAGTTGAACATTCTAGCTTAGATCATGTCACATCTTAAAGTACACAACATGGTCTCACTTCCCTAAGTAGACCACAATTTCTGGTCAAGAATAAGGAAATTCTACAATCATAATTTTACTATAATATGTACTCTCTTGTCAAGAGGATTTCTGGGAAGTTGGTTTAATGTGCATTATTATTCTAACTCAACTACCTGTCTAAATAAGATATTGTAAGCTTGAAGTCACCTTTGACTACCTATATCATAATAGAAATCATCAAAAAGTATTGTTTGTTTTTGATTCCCAGGTTTCCTGTCCCTGGATGACCCAGCATTGCCAGGAAACCTTGGGCTCAAGGACCAAAGATTAGCTCTGCGCTGGATTCACAGGAACATCATATACTTCGGAGGAGATCCTCGAAGGATAACCATATTTGGCCAGAGTGCGGGAGCAGCCAGTGTCCACTATCATATGAAGTTTACATCACACGAAGGTACAAGAACTATCTTCATCCCATCATTGACTTTTAAAAACTGAAGTATACATAACATTATCATTATTTACCAAATGCCTAGCAAAATTAGACCGGAGTGTTGGGCAGTGTTCAAAATAAAATATTGATTTATTTAATCATTGCAGTTTGAGCAGTTCAATTTAAAACCCCGAGAAAGGTAGCAATAGCAATACATTTAAAACCAGTGGTAATAAAAACACTAACAAGTGTAAGTACTACGTGATGTTTATATAGGTTTTATCTATGATTTTACGCAATGTAAAGCTTAGCTGCTTACATTGTGTTGCTTAGTCTATGCTAAAGCAAACAAAGGTTTTACCATCTGAAACAGTTTATTCCTGGCTAGGATGTCCCTCTGCAACTAGTAGTCCCAAAAAAATTCTAGTTCTTAAACTGGCTACATAACATGGAAATGAATGAGTTCTTTACACACTACACACTACACAGTCAATGATCCTGTATACTAGCTTAATATATAGCTTAGGGTTTGATTGTACCCTACTCTATATTGAGCTGTAGCGTACCTATACACTACATTATATAAGATGTGATGAATCTGTTGTAGGTTTGTTCAGATCAGCAATATTACAGAGTGGTTCATCGTTTGACTGTTGGGCCTTCCAACCTCCTGGATCTCAACAGATTTACATCGATTTTATCGCTGCAAGAACTGCTTGTAACCAAACAAACTCCCATGAGTTTGTTGACTGTTTACGAACAGTACCAGCTGAAAGATTTTCAATAATACTTGGACAGCTTTTGGTAATGTTTTCAGTGTTATAGAATATAAATTGTAAGTTTGCTGGACTAGAGTACGCAGCAATAGCTACAATCTCACATTCACTATGATTTAATATTCCAGAGAAACTAAGGATTACATCTTAAACTCAATTTTAAATGACAAAAAAAAAACACCAATGCTGTGTCATTCTACTTCTCCGGAATATATATCACGTATAACATTTGCTTATGTTAGTTACATCATTTTTATAATGTTTTCATCTGTATGTTTTGATAAATTGACTTTGGGCGAACGAGTTTTTAACTAACATTTTAAGGTTTTTTTCTTGCATAGGCATAATGATATAATTTTCCCCTTTCAGATTGATTAGTGTTTTAAAAAAATACTTGAATGATTATAAAATGTAAATACTATAATAGACCGTTATAAAACACTAATTTATTTCCATAAAAAACTCAATCAGTATTCTCACTGTGAAAGTAAGGGGTTGTGGACTATAGTTATCAGTATTAGCTAAGTTTATATAGCTGCTGTGTAGCTGAGTGGATTTATGCTAATAGAGTGCTCGCCTGGTAATGTTCCTATATTTAACAAAAATATACCCCCGCCGCAGCTAACCTGTAGACTAAGCCCTTAAAATGGTGTTACTGTTGAAAGAATAAATAAATAAATATAGTCCAGGCGCTAAACGGGTTGAGTATGCACTGAAAGTCTGACAAAATTTGACTTTTGATTATTGTTGGGGACATCTAGTAGATGAAAAAAATCGATGATGTCGCATTTCTAGGGTGGTCACAACTCGGGGGGAGGGGGGGAAATTGCGCGGGTCATCGGTTTACGTTTCCGCGTCTAACTCACAAACGGTTAATGATAGAAAGGTGGTTTAAGCGTCTATCAACGCCTAAATATATTGTCCTTCAAAAGGATTATAACAATCATTCTTCTATCTCTTATACTTTAGGCGCTAATCAACATTTATTGCAAAAAATAAAATTTAAAAATACTTTAAAATGAAATATCGGAAATATTGCGTTTGTTTAGGGCATGTTACAAACTATTTATGGTTAGAAAAACTAACAAGTAGTACAACAGCACCAAGTTTAAAGAAATCTGTGCAAAAACAACAGAGCTACGTTGATTTCAGTAAGAGTAAACGTGGAAAATTCGTAGTAGTATCGAGGCGCGCATGGATGGTACGTAGCCCACAGTCAATATAGGTTTGATGTTGTAAGTAACTATGGGAAAGCTGAATTTTTCTATGCTGTTAGACCATGTTGAGATGATAATTTTCCCGAAAGTCCCCACTCCTACATGTGCTTTCCTCTAACCCCCCTTTTTAGATAAATTTACAGCCTCTTAGCAATTAAGCTATAACTTTAAAACGGGTAAGGATAATAATGCAATCTTTTATTAATCATTTTGCGTTACGATAATCTACAAAAAGAATTATTAGATAAATAAATATTTAAAAAGAATTATTACAGATTTCTGAAGAAGAAGGAGAAGAAAATGTGTTCATTGTAATAAAATATCAATACAGTGTTTTTTATTTAAATGCAAAGAACAATGGTCAAAGACCGTCTGTTTTGTGTTAGACACACTGATTTTGAAATATTTTTAAACAGTTGAAAAAATTTCATGAATCACATACAAATATTCATAAAAATATACTGATTTCAACTACAGAATATACACAAATAGCACTACATACTAATAAAGATCAGATAACAATTGAATGAATAATAAAATTTAAATGTAGCCTACTGAGAATCTGAATTTTTCCTATAAACAGTTAATAATTCATAAAACAAACCTGTTACTTTTATAATTTACTTTGATAGATACTTAACAAACAATATTTTTAATTTTTTTAAATTACATAGATTTTTCCCATTTTTGTATTGATATCTCAATTCTTAAATTTAATAATTATACTCCATTATCAATTCCTACCCTTTACTCCACGCCTCTTTAAGATAATATCCAAGTGCCCGCCAATCTTTGCCATTTAAAAGTTCCAAAAAACTCATATTCATTTAAATATAACTTGTTAGAGCAAAATTGATGTATCTTTTTTTTAATTGGACATTCTGCTATAAAAGGGTAAACGTTTCATCCCGGTTGAGATTACATGGTGTTGAGATTACATGGTGAACATACATACATTTTATTTTCCATATAGAGTTAACTTTTTATTAGACGACCCCCTTTATTTGTAAAAAATGTTTTTAGGGATGGTTTCGAATAAAAAAATATATCCACCATTTTCCAATATGGCCAACAACTTTGTTATTTCTTATGGAATACGCTGTATTTTAGTATTCTTTTAGAATTTAAAAGCTATTTTTTTATTCGTGACATTTTTTCTCTAAACCTACCCCATTTAGGAGTTTCAGCGTGTTATATCTAAAAGAAAGGCTTGTGGTGTACATTTGGCATCCTGTAGCTCATAAACGAGTAAGTTGAGAGAGAAAGTGCAAAGAATAAATAAGTCACATATAAGTCCTCGTTCAAAAAAATATATAAAATACGTTAAAAAATACTGATTTTGTTTTCTTCTTCGATGTAACTCCTAAACAAGTAGCTTTAGAGAAAAATGTCAAGAATAAAAAGGTTTAAAAATTGTGCGTTTACATTCTAAAACAATCATAAAATACAGGGTATTCCATAGGACTAACAAAGTTGTCAGCCATATTGGAAAATGGCAAACATATTTATAAAATTCGAAACCACTAAAAAACATCTTAAAATAAAGGGTAGTGTCCCATAAGAAGTTAACTCATATCTCATAATAAAACAGTTATCTATTGGTTCACTTTAGGTGAGACACCCTGTGTAATAAAATGAGGCTCTGGCGTACAGCAGCAAATGCACGATATTCATTCATATGTATCCACTACAGTCTGTATATGTATTGAATGAGCTACATAACTTTAATATAATCTATATAAAGCGGCAAATTCAAATACAAAAATCATAATATACGTATTTTTTTCATTGTTGCGGTGCACAAAAAAGCCAGAGTCCTGTAAAATCAATATACTGTACTATCTATACCACTATATGCAAACAAACTGTTAATAACTATGCATCATTTTAAAATGCAAACTATGCACCCCAAATTTTGTATAAAACATTTTGTTGTGCGACCTCGTATAAAAAAATCTACAAAGAAAAGTTTCATAAATTAATCCGTAAAAATTATTTTTTTATGTTTATGATATTTTTTAAATATGAATATTTAGGATACCATGGTAAATACACGTTTTGTAGAATATCGTAACGCAAAATGATTAATAAAAGATTGCGCTATTATCCTTACCCATTTTAAAGTTACAGTCTCTAAGAGACTGTAAATTTATCTAAAAAGGGGGGTTAGAGGAAAGCACAAGGGGGTAGGAGTGGGGACTTTCGGGAAAATGATCATCTCAACATGGTCTAACAGCATAGAAAAATTCAGCTTTCCCATAGTTACTTACAACATCAAACCTATATTGACTGTGGGCTACGTACCATCCATGCGCGCCTCGATACTACTACGAATTTTCCACGTTTACTCTTACTGAAATCAACGTAGCTCTGTTGTTTTTGCACAGATTTCTTTAAACTTGGTGCTGTTGTACTACTTGTTAGTTTTTCTAACCATAAATAGTTTGTAACATGCCCTAAACAAGCGCAATATTTCCGATATTTCATTTTAAAGTATTTTTAAATTTTATTTTTTGCAATAAATGTTGATTAGCGCCTAAAGTATAAGAGATAGAAGAATGGTTGTAATAATCCTTTTGAAGGACAATATATTTAGGCGTTGATAGACGCTTAAACCACCTTTCTATCATTAACCGTTTGTGAGTTAGACGCGGAAACGTAAACCGATGACCCGCGCAATTTCCCCCCCTCCCCCCGAGTTGTGACCACCCTAGAAATGCGACATCATCGATTTTTTTCATCTACTAGATGTCCCCAACAATAATCAAAAGTCAAATTTTGTCAGACTTTCAGTGCATACTCAACCCGTTTAGCGCCTGGACTAATAAGCGAATTTCCATTTACCTGGTTGGATTTCTACTAAAATATTCCCTAAAAATTGTCATACCGTATTTATTTACTATTAAAAAAAAAAACATTAATTTTACTGAGTAGCCTACTTAGGTTTGCTGCTACAGGGAAGATATTGAGGTGTGTTTTTTATTGCAATGTTGATAGCTTATAGTATGAAATAAACAAAATTTCCAAATTTGGTTAAAATATACCCATAAACAAGCAAACTATAAAAGTGTATTTATTCTCCATAAGAATAACATGGGAATTTTAAAAATACAATTTTTTTAATATCTTCGTAACCGTTGGGCATACAACAATGCTTCAATATACAGAATTAAAATTGTTTCTTTTTTCAAGCTTTACAAAATTGTTTGGAGAGAAATTATGAAATTTTGTGTTTTTAGGGTCAAAAATGGGGAAAATTAATTTTTAACCCATAAAACCCCCCATAAACCTCCGTTCCCATAGTCCAATTATGCTAGTTCCGAACTCATTCGAATAAACGTAGGTTTACACGTTTCGACGTTTGTACCCGTTTGTAGGTAGGGTCATTTTTGCTCAAGTTATCGCGCTAACGAACACATATATACGAATTTGAACGAATAGTGTTTTTGGCCTCTGGGGACCTCAAAACAAAAAAGCAAATCGGTCCCGGGTCTAGGTCTTACCATGAGACTTAAAGTAATAGCTTATTTCCTATATTGGAAATTCGCTGAAAAGAAAAAATCTGTGTCCTCTGTACCGATGTAAAAAGAAGCAAAGCAGGTGTTGTGTGCAATACCTAACTCACTTCCACCCAATCCAGACAAAGCTTAATTAAGGTGCTGAGCATTAGCAAGCTCAATATGGATTGTACATGTACTGCATTCGAACCAGCACAAAATACTTATAAGTGCAATGCATTAATTAACTGAGTTAACATGCTCTCTAGCGCTCGCAGGTTAGGTTTGACGAACTAATACCCAGACCTACTCAGACTTGGTGCTGTAAGTGTAAACAAAATAAATGATCCTGGCTAAAGAACAAGATATGATGCTAGTAAGGAATAAATGTGACATATTATTCATTCAAAACACATCATTTGCTTATTTTCACCTTAAAATAAGGATCCTGTAGTGTCGTTGACCTGTAAATCTTATCTATTGCCAATAATAAATATTTACAAAAACATTAACAGTTTATGTTGACAAACATTTTTAAAACTTTGAATCAACATTAACAAACAAAAATAAGTTGTGACTATGTTGGGTAATGTTGAAAAAAAACTTGGCAGTAATTTGATACTAAAGACTCCTATTTCCCTGTTTGTAACAGGTTAATTCAGACCCCTTGATGAGGAAGGTCACCCTGCTGACTCCAGTGATTGAGCCTCCCGGATCAGAAGATCCTTTCATTACAGTTGACCCCTACACTGTCCCCACAGCTATCCCCATGATAGCTGGAGTCACAGACATGGAGGCCTTAGACATCAACCTGCCTCCTTGTAAGTACAGAGTATGGCTGTAGAGGTCTTTACAAATTTTGTTTAGTTTTAAGACACATATATAAGTTGTTTTCTTTTCATTTGGACCACTTCTTTCCCACTTGCACTGATTTTTTTGAAGAAACATTTCAAACAGAACAATGATGACAGGAGTAAATTAATCCTTTCATGTCCACTCCCATCCAACACTGCAGTGGAATGCACATGGAATGCTACAGGAGAATGCAACTAACATTTTCAGAAAGTACATGGGTCGCAAATAATTTTTCCTATGTGTTACAAAATGTTTCCTATGTTACCAATATGTGTACCTCGGTTTACATATCATAAAGTCACTCCTATATTTCAGTTCTGACCAAATCCACTGAAAAGTGGGCTGATTAATTGCAGCAAAAACTCTTTTTCTCAGCTGCAAGAGATTTGATTAGAGATGAGGTACAAATATTTCGTCTTTCACATAACCCCTCATAAAGAAATCACAAGAGTTAAATCTGGGCTAAGCGAAGGCCAACACAACATAGGGTCGTTGATGTCACTTAAACAGGGAATTAAAAATGCTGTGAGATTCCCATCATGATATTGCTTTACACAACATTTCCAGAAGTTTTTGCATGTTTCTCCAAGCTATTAGTTGTGTGATTAGAACTAATATCTTTGTATTAAGTGTAACAGTTGCATGGACTCACTAATTTGGGCATCAGTTACCTACCGCTGGCCTTCAAGTGTTATTTTCTCTGTTAACACGACCGGCAATGCTGATAGATAGACTTCCCATTAGGTGGGTCTTTATCATAACGAGTCCTAAATCGCCTTTGAACAACAGTAGCTGTGGAGTTTTTTTTTCAAACTCAAGCACACAATATAAAGATTTTTCTAAAAGCGTAGAGTGAATTTAAACAATTTTATTACCACTTATAACATGCTTATACCTAATTACATGTTACAGATTTGTATCAGGATCCTACAGACACTTTGTTTGCTGGGTTAGATTCAAACTACACTCTATTTTTGCCTGTCAATCTGCAATACAACGACACAGCACAGGACCCTGTTTCTGTCTCCAAAAAATTAAAAGAATTCTACCTTGGGGATGAACACTTTGCTAGGAAGAATTACTTGGACATTGTAAAGGTACCATAATTATCACATTTCAGATAAATTTAAAAACGATAATGATTTTTTTAGTTTGGGAAATTGTGTAAGACGACGTTAGTCCAATATATTTTTACATAGGTGTGCTCCACTATGTAAAAAAAAAACATTAAATTATCTTGTTACTTTTTGTTCATTACAAAACGAAAATGTGTACCAACAATGAGAAAAGAAAAAAATAATATAGAATTATTGTATTCTTGACCAACAGAATTAATATTACGACACATATACGACATATTTAAAATAATAGTGTTGTAAAGGTGATTTTAACATCGGTTGTTAAGGAAACTTCTTATGGGTGACTTTAGAACATCCTTCAATATCTAGAAAATTGAATTATAAAAGGTCTGTAAAAGGGATCTTTTAACTGTTTCAGTTGTACTCTGATGGCTCCTTCATCAATGGTGTTTACAGGGCTGCGAGATCAAATAGGCAGAAGACGTACTTTTATTTATTCAGTTACCTAGGGTTGAATTCCATCACTTACTCAACAGGAAGCACTGGTAGATTTGGTGAGTCGTTACTGAGATTATGATTTAAAGTAACATGTATAACTAACGTAAGTAACTCATGAGTAAACTTTTCACTGTAACATGGGGAGTTGGAGGCCTCCAGCAAAACAAAACAAAAAATGTCACATTAATTACTGTAACATTGTTTATCCTCAGGAAGAAGACAAGTTTACAGCAACAGCAGTCAGACACTATTGAAAACTAAATATGTAAATCCATTAGGCTACTTGCAGCTTGAATTTTGTTCCCATGAACTATTGCATTATTGTATTATTATTGTTACAATCAACCTAGAGAAGTAAGAAACATCTATGGTATTTCAAACTGTTCCCAATAGGTGAACCAACTTTTTATGTGTTGAGGATATTAAGTTATACATTGCATAAGGTATGTCTGTTCAGGAGCTGCACATGCAGATGACCTCTACTTCTTCTTCAAAGTAAATGCACCTGCAGATGAGGTACCTGCCGATGTGGAGTTATCCAAGAAGTTGGTCAAAATGTGGACAAACTTTGCTCAACATTTGTAAGTCTGTATTGTAAAAATAAGACATATTGCTCTAACATTTCTATATGACATATTTTTTGTATGACATAGTCAAGTGGTAAAAACATTGTTAAGTTACATGCAGATGGCAATAATAGGCTTTTGTAATTTCTGGGTGTATTCGTGATTGCATACAAATTTGGAGGAGGTATTTTAATAAGTATGGGTAGAAATTTTAAGAGACTAGTTTTATCAGAACATTAATTAATGCTGAATTAAACAATTGTTTTTCTTTAATATACAGTAGTATTTTATTTGTATTGTAGTTTGTGAAATAGTTAATTAAATAAGCACATTACTATCCAAAGTGTCTTACCAGAAAAACCAGGAATATTACATACTGTACTAAAATTATCATGAAACAGTGTTTGCATTTTATGTGAGTTTTGCATAACAACAAGACATTTTTTAAATAATTGCTGCTAGTCTCATTTTGATTTCATTAATGGCTCCCTGTTGGTTTTCTTTTCACCTTAACGGGCTAAGATATGGTGTAGACTGACTTAAGGAGAGGGGATCGATTTAGGCTGCGTTTGGAAAAGTGGCGTGATGTGTGACGTCATGGGAATAGCCATGAGCTCCTTTATTTGAAACATCACCTGGTTTTACATATTGCCAACATAAGCATAGATTGTGGTAACATTATGGTAAAAATTATCAGATTATGGTACAGTAACCATAGGTCCCTTAGTTGCCATTAGCTGTATGGGCTATTAATTAACAGCTGTGTCTAAGGAATGTCGGCCTTAGTCACTAACAAGACTATACAAGATCGCGCCACTCATCTCCATTCATACTTGGCTTAAAATACCTACTTTGTATGGTTGCCATTTAATAAGAAAGTATTAAAGTATTAGATCACAATATTATCACATGGACAAAGCCTCAAGAACAGCAGTCCCAAGCTGTTAACTCTAGACCAACTATTCTATTCAGTATCCAAACAAAAAGAATATTCAGTTGATCCATTCACGACTTGACCTATAGAAGTTTAATTGGTTTGTTTCAGTGACCCCAACGGTAACTACTTCCCCGTCCACTGGGCTCCAGTTTCCACACCACACATTGAGTATCTTAGTATCGGACAGACCAATATTACCATGGAGGAAAAACCATTCCTCCCCTCTAGAATGGAGTTTTGGGATGAACTACCTTTTAGAAATAAGCCGATTGAGTTTAAGTGTGAGTATTGTAACATATATTTATTGGCACTTGTAAAATATTGTTCTGATTTATTGATTGATTGATAGAGAATCTGACAACAAAACAATTAGAAGCATAATTTGCAAATAAAAAAAAAAACACTACTTTATTTTATATATATATATATATATATTTACAACATTCCTCCACCTATGCAAAAATATACAAAGAATCTTCAATTTAGTATATTCAAGCATAGTCAATGCTGCTATTATACTACAAATAGATAAGCTAAGAGTTGTTATTGTAAATCAATATCATTTGCCCTAATACCAACATTTTTATAGCTAAACAACTGGTAAATGTTTGATAATATTAGACATGATGGATTAAAAAAGTAAATTTAAATTTACAAAATTTTTAAAATGGGTACTTAACTTAAAGTTTTTTTAAATAGGCCTATGTGTTAAAACTTGTTTTCAGTCTGTGTAATGTAAATAACTGGTATGACCAAACTGACTCATACTTTCTCCCATTGGCATATCAATTATTCCCCAGGAGTAACAATTAATGAGATTCTATGGGTTAAATTACAATTTAAAATTGCAATAACCTTTGAACTGTACTTTTTTCAGCATTGGGGGTTGTAAAATTTTGTTTAGAGTTAAAAGGACCATAACATTCTAAATTATAATCAAAGTATGTGCTTTTTTTGCAAATATCATTTTAAATTTTATTTTATGGGAAAATTAAAATAAAAAACAAATCTAAAACATGAAAGACGCCGGAGATACCATGGATTAGTACCCACATACCAAGTTTCATCTAAATCGGACCAGCATTAATAGAGTAGTTTGTAGCTCTCTACACATCTCACGTCCACATCCACACACACAGACATTTCTTTGAAAACTTGTTTTGTTTAAGGGGGACCAACCAAAACACAATCTCAAAAAGGTTGACGGAAAGAATATTTTCTGCACATACTATTTATAGGGAGGGAAAGTAAAAAGAAATTAACTAAGTACTAAAAATCAAATAGTAAACAATTCTTCTAAACATAGGTTTTTTTCTGTTTGTATTTCTTCTTCCAGGAATACATATAGGCTTGAAGTAACATTTATTCAACAGTATATTAATGTATTTTATTCAACTTAAGTTAACCGCCTGACTTATTTTTAAAACGTTTCCTTGACTTTATTGACTAAAAGTTTTCAAATTGTATTTAGAAATATAAGCTCTTTGCTAAATTTGAATTAATTTGATGTAAATGTTTATTACAATTGTCTTGAATGATGAATAAGTTTGTTTTTTTTTTTCATCAGGGCCATCAACTCCGTCCCACAGCTTGTCAATATCCAGAATCACAGAGAAGTACTTGGGTAACAGGCAAGGCCAGCAAACATCTCACCTCTACGCTTCTGATTCAGAGTAGTGACAATATTAATTTTTCCTAATAGAAAAATCTAATCAATTTTGAGATTCTGAACTGCTTAGGGAGAAATGGTTCTTAATTGCAGTTACATTAATGTCCTAGGATAACCTAGGATATTGTGTTGGTAAATGATTCTAGCTACTGTAAGACTATATAACAGTATTTGCTTTCTGTTTTCAACATCATGTTTAGAAAAATAAATCTGTTTTAATAAATTCACGTTTTTTGCTGAAAAACATATAATTTATGTGGCCTATAGCATCCGATGTACAGTTTCAATATGAATTATAAACCTGCCAAGAGATAAAAAAGATTACTAAAAGTATGTGTTATTTATAAAATAGAAAAAAAAATACCTAAAAGAAGGGAAACCCGAAAGTCAAATCCTGATTGTGGTAGCATTTGATGTTGTATAATGTATGATATGTAAATATCGACGAATAAAGTTTCATTTAGTTAAATTGTAAACTATTTTCTTAAAATGGATATTTTTCATCCCTCATTTCATAAAGCAAGAAATTGAAGAGTTTCATAATTATATAAATTAATTATACTATATTGTATTTGATGTATTATTGTTTTATTTCTTTTTGCATTGGAAGAAACTTTTCTCACTTTAATAAAACTGTATCAGCTCTTTGTTGATATTTGAACTTTTATCTTAACTAAAGATTTATTCAAAGTAGAAACAAAGCTAAAATAGGTCATCCTTCTTGATAAAAAAAATGCTGGCAACAGCATAGCAACATGCATATATACACGAACCTTAAAGCCTAAAAAACTAACATTGATTGCTATTAAAGAATTGTCGTTTTCCATGAAAGTGACCGTTTAAAAGTCAGACTTTGTATACGCTTTAATTGAAATTGTCCATTACTTTCAGTTGGTTCAAATGCATTACCACCTAAGTAGCTAAACTTCTGTATTTATTGGCTAGTTTGTTTTACTTTGTATTTAAATCCACATTTCAAGGAATCATCCAACTACTTTTTGGTCTCTGAGATTTTTATGATTTATCGTGATAGCCTACAATTTTTACACAATTTGTCAAAGCTGTTCTGTCACGAACAGCGAGGTAGGCCTCTGTAACGGATGATCTTGTACTTAATAACACTTGGGCACGACAACACTCGCTCAACAATCCATTTATATATTTCAGCTGAAGATAACATTATTCTTGAAGATATAACATAACATATGTTTAAATAATAAGATGTTTTTACAAATTGTTATTAATTAGTTTGAAAAACTGTATACCCTGATATTCAGGACCGTTAACTATTAATGGGATTGAATGTACAATTCCCTAAATTTTATTTTAATAGTCACAGAGATTTAAACATATTTTATTTTGAATCTGTATTGAATTCAATTTTAGTGTTATTATTGTAGGACAAGAAATGGTCGTACAATGTGTTTAAATGTTTCTATTTCTAAAAGTGTTTTAAGATATAGAGCTCCTGAGTCAAAGTAGTCTTTCCGATATCCAAAACTTCATAGACCTTGTACATAACTTTCCATGGTGCAAGTATAGAACAAACATTACCCAAAGTTGAAAATAGTTTACCTGAAATACTGTTGGCTAACTAACAAAATTACCACAGGATATTGAAATTAAAAAGCTTTTTATGGGGGTTTAAATTGTCAACATACATTTTGTATCAGATTAAATTTAGGGTTCTCTACTAACCTATGGTATGTTAAAAAGTAGTTTCAGACAGTTAAAGAAACGCAGGCAAGATTTTTAAGAGGTGATTTAATTATTACCACATAGCTCCCGGTTGGATAAAAATTTCAAATCTGTTGTTTTAGGAAAGTAGTTTGTCTCCTATATACATATTTTCTGAGAGCAATCGATTCTAAAGGTTTCAGGTTTAAAAAAAGGTGTTTAATTAAAGTGATCCTGCATAGTTATTAGTCTTTGTGAATACAATAAAGAAAAGAGATTTTTCTATAATCTTTTAGCAGTTATTATCTATTGAAAACTATTTAGTCCCATCTATTGAAAACCTTTTGTACACGATTAAATCATTTAAATACACATGACGAACGACCACATTTATTTTATTAAATATGCCAGTATCAAATTGCAAGGTCTCAAACAATTTATCAAACTCTTAATCTTTCTTTAAGTTATTTCGTTTAGAGGACAAACAACACATATTTTTATTAAACTAAATACAATATTCACAAAAAATATAATTTACCGGCATTAAAAAATATATTTTATTTTATCATATATTTAATATATAGACAATTGATTTTGAACTCTATAACATTGTCAAGAGAATTAAATAGTTAAAGGTTAGAAGAGAATTATCGGTAACAAGAACATTAGGGGACATTACACCATCATTACTCATAAAGATGGCGTGTCGCTGACATAAATGACTCTGAAAAATTATATAAGGGTCATATTTATGGAAGGTTCTTTGTGCTCACGTCCCTTGTTTGATCATTAACTTTCAGTGTAGTTTTGTCAAATGAATGCCAAGCACATGTCATACACACAATGTGTTCTCATAAGACTGTTATTGGATTTAAGAATATAAAATAAATAGTCTATATTTAATTTATGATTCAATCATCACTTTTTTAGACATAAAGTAACTCAACTCAGCCAGAAGAGTTAAGCAAAACGTAGGGTTTTTTCTAGCATGCATGGTTTAAAGTATGCAACATTTGATACTAGAACTGTTATATTTGATAAAAACCTAAACATAACAAGTTGATAAGAATCACTCAATGGGCATAGGATAACTGAAATGACTGGATAGAAAGGTTGTGGCGCAAAATAATCTTTATACATATTAAAGTATATTAAAGTATTAATTATTATTCTGCTTTGAGTGTTAAAATTTTTTTCTTTTTTTGTAAGAAAACTGTTAAAATCTTAATTGTAAGTCGACCTTTTGTTGTATGGCACCATCATTAATAACACCAAGACAGATGACAGATAGCATCCAGGTCCAGACAAATCCTGCTTGGAATCGAACCACTAACCTTCAGGGTTCAGTCTCACAAACAAATCAAACAAATCTACTTATCTCAGAAATTTTACAAAACAGAGAATATGTACAATAAACCCACTAAAATTAGATCTCTGCAAAGCAAGTCTTGATTGCAGGGACCGAGTCGCAATATTAGATGAATATTACACTTAAAGACTGCGAAATTACAAATTAATAGATATATGTGTTACATTGTATTGTGACATAACCTCTAGACTCCCCAGACTTAAAGTTCCAAAATGTATTTCCAGTTCCTGAAAAACAACAATCTTTATATTTTGATCTGTGGTATGGCAAATTAGGAAAAACTTTTTTTATATTTATTTTATTATAACCAAACAACCAGGCTGACGTCTAAGTGAACTGGGGTTACATTTTTTGCCTCAGTATTCAGTTTTCGTTTCCAAAAAGTTATCACCTTTTTTAAAAAGAAAATCACCTCTACCTCGTTGTCTTCTTTAATCGTCACATGGAAGGATGGACACACAGACATGACGGCAGGAGCTACTTCCCTATAGGGAAATTCGCTAAAAAGGGCCGATTTCATGATAAGAGTTCAAAAGCACTTTTGATTTTTTGTTGTAAATGAGGTTCAACCTGACGGCTTAGCCTTGTTCTACCTCATTTTAGAATAAAACATTACTATTAGTTATTCGATATTTTTGAACTTGGTGTAATTTGATAAGAAACTTATAATGGAAAATAAAGCGTTATTAATATTTTCATATGATCAATCATTTGATGTAATTTAAATTTACATATTAAAACCTTCGAAAATTTGAAATTTTGAATTGGACCAAAATACTTTTTCTAGCCTGGTTCTATTCTACTTAATCATACATACCAATTTTCATAAAATTGGTCTAAACAATCCAAAGATAAAAAATTGTATGTAAAAAATAAAAAAAGGTGGATATCTGGTTAACAAAAGTTTTTATTCTTGATTTTCTCCTTCTTTTGGCCCAAGGAATCACTAGGTAAATGATGACTCCACCTTTTTTGAACAGCCCTGTATACTACGGTTTAATTTAGGTGTTTGTTATGACTTATGAGCAATACATTGTACTCAACACTTTTTATAAGTTAGCTAATATACTTGGATAAAAACACAAATATAACAATAGCAAAACTGATGTTTTATCCAGATCGATGGTTTCCTTTTACATTCCGTTTACCTAGAGCTTCCTCGAAACAGACAATTTTCTAATATTTTATACGTGTATGTTTTTAAACAAAAGTGAATAATACATTACCAACTTAGTCTATTTAAAACGTCCAAATACTAAATTTTCTTAATAACGTCCCAAATAATTGGCCAAAATACATTTTGATCAATTTTTTAAACATTACAAGTATTAATTTGATAACCTAAATGATTTTAGTTTATAATAGGAAGACAAATTCTTTCGTTAAACGTAAAACTATTTTCTTTCAGTTCATTAAACAAAAAATATTATTTGAGCACGATATTAAATTGGTTTATATAGCCCTAGTTGTCAAGGAAGAGTGCCGTGGTATTCTTTCGACGCAATACCCGCAGTACACATGCGGCTGTGTATTGCTAGATAGCGCCGTTGTATTGTATTAACTATGACGCAAGTTTTCTCTTGTGTTTTGGATACTTGGAGGAATATAATGCATTATGATATATCAAATAGGATTAGATATTATAAAAATGTTAAGTGTAACATCGAAGGTCTGTTAAGACTGAAATATGTACGAACAAGGTTGCATTAGCCAGTTAATCCTGGTCATCTATTACCGAAGGTCTCAAAGTAACTTAAGACCTAGGCCCGGGACTGATTTAACTTTTCATTTTGATGTCCCCAGAGGCCAAAAACACTATTCGATCAAATTTTTATATATGGATAATGATAAATTGAGTAATTTTTGTCCTATTTGATTAAATTTGGCTTGAAGGTGTAAGGCGGGATAAACTTGAATGGGTTAGGGAACCAGCACGATCAGGCTATGGGAAACGGGTTATATGGGGTAAAAATTTGTTTTTCTAATTTTTTACCTTCAAAACAAAAAATCCCAATTTCCCTCTAGACCTTTTTAAAGAGTAAAAAAACAAATAATTTAGTATATTAAAGTTTTTTTGAACGGTTATAAGCTACGGAGAAAATTCAAAAAATCTTAATTTTAAAATTCTTATGTTATTCTTTTGGAGAACATTGTATATTGTTGTAGTTTGGTTGTTATCATTATTTCTTAAATATGGACAAAGATAGTGGTAGCTAAGTTACCTATCCATATGATATTTAATGTTTCAATTTTACTAAAATGTTTACTACACAAATATGTTCTACTGAACAATATTAGAATGTTTTATAAACTATAAAGTTGTAATTTTGTTTGGAGCTGAGGGCAGGTATGACAATTTAAACAACAATATTGACATGTCACTCTGAGCGCGCTGCAAAACACCTTTGTTGACACAACTCTTTAATCGGAATAAAAATGAAATTGTAGGAGGAAAGTTAAAT